AAAATTAATAAATGAAATATTAATCAATTACTTAGAGGTAAAAATATAGATAACCGAATTTTTGCTCAAATCCCGCACACGAGAGAGAAATTCATACGCCAGTTTCCTCTCTGAAATACATGTCTACGATGATTTCTTCCACTTAGACAATATCAAAACCGTCGTGACACCTGTCCGACTTGACGTCGAGCTTTCCAGGTATTCGTGAGACGCGGCCATTCACGCGAACAGGAACGAGAATGAGAATGAGTATGAGAATGAGAACCGTAGGTGTTGTAGGATAACGAGAGACACTCACTGAGAGGAGCAAATGTATGCGTGCATGCCTCTACACGTACACACGTGTCAGTCTGTGTGTATGTGTGCGGACCACATCGCGTTGTAACCGTTAGCTGGCCGGCTTTACGTCCAGCCGGCTCTCTTCCAGGAGTCTCTTACAGTTTGTCCGAGGTGGACTTTTGTTAACGGCAATGTTGGTATCCCGCGTATTACTACGAACCGCGTCTGGATTCTGGAGAATCCGACACGGCAAGAAACGAGACGAACCAAGTCCGTAAAAAGAGAAAAAAACACAGAGCTCACCTCGTTAATGATGACTCCGGTCTGAGCTATCGGGGATCAACTACTTGATGTTTAAGTATAGAAATGCGCTCGTGAGTCATATCGGGGAATCTAAAAGGAGATAGCAATCTTAAGTTTCCCATTTTTTCATTTATACCGAATCGATCGGATAATCTTCACCTTTCTTCATCTTAATGGAAGATGTGCAAAATTACTTGCATCGTATAAAATCGCATATATGTCTATATATTCTTTTCATTCTTATCAAATTTTCATCACCGTTTTTTTTTTTAATGTTTTGTAATATATTTCGATTTTGATTTAAATTATTATGTAAATATCAAATAATATTTAAAAATATGTCACATGTTAAACGCTATATATTAAAATTAATTTCTCTTTATATATATTCTACAGTTTTATATTCTGATATATACTGAAAAATCACGTGTGATTTTTTAGCAGTTCAAAACATTTCTATGAAAAGTACCTTTCGACAGAAATTTTTGAAACTATATTAAAAAATCGATGTTGATTCAAAAATATAAAACTGTGCTTTAATTAATACTTTATTTGAAAAAAAAAACTTTAAATATATAACGCTTCGAAAAGCGTTTATCACAGATTCGCGAAATTCTTGGACGGTAGTTTCACCTTTGTGCTACCTACTTCAGACACGATATTAATCTTTGTTCCTCTGCTTTGTTTTGTGCGATGCAAATTCTCTTAAGGATCGTTATGCTCGTTTTACTCACACAAAGTGTCGAAATCCCGCGATAGCGCAAAGTGTACAATCGTGTACGCTTTCCACTTCGCTTTGTGCGAGAAGGTAAATCGCAATTTATAAAAGCGCGAAATTTGCTTTATTTATAGAAAACGTGACGGTATATTTTACCGATTTTCATTGACTTGTCGTACGTTAGAACTTGCAACAAAAATCGATATTTTTTATTAAGTATTAGCTACTTTACAATTAAGAGCTCATACAAATCGGAGGAAAACTCTTTTGTAGACGAAAAGAAGAATAAATAAATAAAAGTATAGGGAAGCATGACAAATGACGCAAGTGAAAGGAAATTTCAAAGGTGACGGATCATTAAGGAAATATTTTCAAAGTATTTCCTTGCATAAATAATGTATGTAATATCCCGTGCGTATAATGCAAAATTAAAGGTGAAAAAATATCTAGACACAAATGCAGGCGCGTGTAATTGCATTTACGTAATCGCGCTATTTTATTTAAAGATAAAAGAGCGATTTAGAAAAAAGGATAAAATGTATCAGGAAACTCTCCTGATACGAAATTAAATATGTTTTGAAATAATCATTAAGAGTCTTAAATTCCTCTGGTGAGAGGCAGTGTACATGTTTTTTCATAGTTGACCTAAACAACATGAACGATCGATGTAAAAACGTTCTAAACGTCGATTTCGCAAAAAAAAAAATTCAAGGAATTTGAATATTCAGTCATTAGTTCGTAAAATAAGATCAGTTAATGTTATCGAATTAATTTGCAGCTCAAAGATGAAAATAGTTTTATAGCATGATTAGTATAGTTACGACATGTAAAGATATAAAGAGAAACTTTACGATGCTATGGTTTGCTATTAATATATTTTATCGATAATTGAAATAGATCTTTTAGATCCCATAAAATTAAATTTATTTCCTCTCTATTTACTAATTTATTTTTACTACTTACTATTTTACTTTATTTACTAATTTATTTTTATATGAAATCTATAGTCATATTTTTAATTAATCTGCAAAAATAGATTTATCTTTAAATATAGATGCTCTCTTTTTAAACATCCAAAGATATTTCACTGCTCTCATTAAAAAATTGAAAAGTTGTACTCGAATGATTCGGAATTAGCGAGAAAGCATATAGAACAGAACAAAGCCAATCGAAATAAGGACACTACTGAAGATGAGGGAGATGGCTGGCAGATTCGAAGATACTTTCGAAACTCGGCCATATTAAGATGATAAAAAGAAGATCGTTCAGTCAATAATGCATTGACGCGAGATTCGAATGATTCAAATGATACAAATCACTTCCGAAGTTCATTGTATGGTAAATAATTTTACTTTAGCTCTGTTATAAAACAATTGCATATATGTATAAAAATATTCAGAAATATCTGACATTAATTTTTATGACAGATATATACCTTGCTCGCTATTAATTTTAATTATTTACTAATTGTAAATAATTGTAATTATTTTTTAATAATTGGTAATAAAATTTAATACTTTTTTGATTTGATTTAAGAAATCAAAATACCGATAGCTTTCCTTATCCAGGAAGCAATTTGAAAACAAACTTTCGTTAAAGATCTATCTTCGGGAGAACAAGCTTTCATTAAAGATCTATCAAACTTGAAATTTGTAACGGTGTTGTTATTATTTCGAATGCATCCGCCTAATGTATGTAAGTTTACACATTTCTGAGATGTTCTTAATGTTGTAAAAAAATTGACCACGTGTTGTCGGACGGTAAATCGAGTAGATCCGTTACTTACAACTCTTGCATATAAACTTTCACGAGCGATCGTTTACTTATCTCGTTAATAAATCGAAGATCTCGTGTGTGCAAGATAAACTAACGCGAGAATATTATAATCTTGAATCTCGATACACGCGCTACTATTTGTTTAACATCGAGTACGAATATTATTATAAATTATAAGCAACGTAAGGAGAAAGAATTGAAAAAATCCCGTAAATATAGTTTCGAAGAGTTCAAAGCAAAAAATGGGAAACATTTTCTACATTTTTCTAAAGAGAGAGTATACTTATTTAAAAATTATTAAAATTTTTAAATTATTTAAAAATTATTTAAAAATCTAACGTGTGAAAGACTTTTTGCTAAATTAGGTTAAAGAGTATCTGGAACAGATTTGTCTAATTTACTCTTTTTTATATGAATATCATTTCTAATTACATACTTTCTTCGTTAAAAGACCTTGTCATCTCTTGTCGGTATGAAAATTAATATCGCCCATCTTTCTACCTATTATTAACATAATTACGAGATACACCAGACCATGTTTTCACTATGTAAAAGTTAATCACGAACGACATACTAATTGCAACTTTTATTTCTAAGAAGACAGCATTTTGCTTTTCCAGAATTTTAATTTGAGAGAGACAGAGTTACATAAATATTTTATAGTCAATATATATATATATATATTAAATGTCAAAATAAATAAACTATATATATATATTCTCTTTAAGAGATTTCGTGAAGAATAAAGTGTATCGAAAAATCCATCATTCAAATTAATATCAGATATTCTGAATGATCGAAGAGTAAATCGCGAGTTTGTCGCATTTTTAAAAATTGAAAAACCTGTTGACTTTAATGTATAATTTATCAGATACGGCGAACAATGACTTTGAAATTGAAATGCAACATCCTGTCATCACCTCGTATAAACCGAGAATTGAGTAACGTGCGCGTTAGACCTAAGATGTAACTTTCAACCGACTTAACTTAAACAAAAGCTCGTAAAATCGTTGACGCAATGTTACTACATTACATTCTCATGCAACATATTATTTCTCTCGACGTATTGCGCCTTTGTCCGAAATAAGGGGACGGCTCTAACAAAGACAGAAATTTCTCGAGCTTTTACATATGATTATGTCATGTCTTTAGGAAGTTGGAGAATTATCAAATAATTTTGTTGGGAAAGATGTGCATGCGCTCACTGATAAAATATATCAATTTTAAAGCCCGCATAATTTTAGTGAGTTCAATGTTCGATATATTTTAATTGTAGAAAAATATATCTTACGCCTTATATTTCCACTAATTAGCATCAATGCTATTATAGAGATCATTTTCTAAATATATGCGCTTATCATCACTTTCCGAATTATTTATAGAGAATTGTTGAAATTTTCGACAGAAATAAAAAATTGGCTTTTAAATTCTTCTTCGAAGAAAAGAACATTTTGAATCAATTTTATATCGACGTCTCAATATAAATACAAAATAAAAAAGTAATTGATCGAAGATTCTTAAATCATTTTTATCATTTTTTTTCAAGATTTTAACAGCAAGAATAAAATATCTTTAAGAAGAAGAAATTAAATATTTAAACATTAATTTTATATCTCTCCTTTTTTATTTCATGTCTTCTTAAAAGAAGAAGAAGAAGAAGAAGAATGAAATATTTTCTTCTTCTTCTCAGAAAATAAAATAAAAAAGAAGAAATATAAAAATGATCAAGTCAATACTTCTTTTAAATATTTAATTTCTTCGAAGAAGAATATTTTATTCTTCCTCGAAAATCTTGAACAAAAAATGTAATAATCTTGGATCGATTGCTTCTCTATTTCGTAACTAATATATTAAGACGTCGATGTCACAGCAACATCGCAATTGAAATCCCATTTAATCCTCGAAAATAAAATACTGTACTTACTGAAGAAGCAGCGGTCCTTGAGGATGCTCGAGGAGAAACTTCGAAGATAATCCTCTTCCTTTTCTTCCCCTGCTCGGACTTACCTAGGGTGGTCCGTGAGCTACGATGAGTCTGGTCGACGACGATAAGAGGAACCAGGGGTCGAGAGAGTGCCGTAGCTCAGGATGATCCGATGAATCGGAAATACGGGAAAGGAATGAACTGGCGGACGGTCGCGATGAGCCGGTATATAGTCGGCCCACATTCCCTAGTGGTACGAGTAACCTAAATTTCTCCCACCAGAGCGGGGCATCATCCTCATCAGGTAGACAAGACACTGCCTGGGTCCTCCACAGGTGGGGTGGACGAACCCCACCTGTTCGTCCTGTCGTCGACGTCGCGGTTGTGCATACCGGTTCATACGGCGATAGTATTATCGTTTACCTTTTCGTCCTCCTCGTCTTCGTCCCCACCAGGCGAGCTTGACCAGACGATCCTCGTCGTTTCGAAAACCTCTTCTTGTCCCGACGTTACGAGCGGCGCAATCCGTTGTATCTTCTGCAGTGAAAGAAAGAAATGAGTGTAACTGGTAGTCGCCCTGATTCGAGTAAATGTCAAGTTATTACGTAATGTTGATTCGCGTTTATAATGGTAATCGAATCGGTCAAATAATTCATTAAATGTTAATTACATAACGATATGGTTGAATCATCGACTCATTTGAATGAGAGCAGCTAATTTTGTTTATTAGCTTTCATCAAGCCCCTTCATCTATAAATGGCTATATTAACATTTTGAAATATCTGGATAACATATGAAACATGCGGGCATCATTTGACTTTGTCGAGTATCTATTATGCAATTAATCAGACTGAAAAATATTTAAAGGCATAATAGCAGACTTGAAAAAGTGTGCAGTCGCTAGTTTACATTACGAACAAACAAGTTGTATCTGAAGAAAGACATTTTTAAGAAATGGAATTTATCTCATGGGAGCATATTTGATGTTTCATTTTGTTTTAGTATATAATACATTTATTCTATCGTAGCGAATGATTATTATTATCTCTTGCTGGCGAATAATTCGAAAGGCCATGCCTCGTGACACCAAAACTACTTACGGCCGGGACTATAAAACGGCGTAATGACTATGTAAGCATTCAGTAGTCAAGATGACAATTCCTCAGGGAAATATCTTTCCGATCACATATCCGATGTACATATGAGTCGTTCGAAGAGCGGCTACGGAGATGTCCTCTCGTTTCTTCAAGTTCTCTTCTCACGTTCATAAGTAGCATCAACTTCTACAGTCACACTTGCTGTTTTTGATGTTACATTTGCTACAGCTGTATCTCTGCAACAAAATTATCATCTAATCTAACGAGATTTATAACTGTTACAAGTAATTATATATAAAAAGTGGTGTAAATAATAATGTGCAACAAATATATATATATATATATATATTTTTTTTTTAAGTTCTAAATAAAAAATATATATATTTTTATACACAGAGAATATTTTTCTTAGAATAATTTACCCTGAAAATCCTGGTAATCGAGACTATATAATATTGGAAGAATTTTATAAGAGTTTTTCTGATTAATATTTACCAGAATAAAAAATATTAATATCTACCACAATAAAATATAATAACATACGTTTGATTTATTAATTTTATTTTTTAGTAAAATTTACTATGTATATATTAAATATTTTTTTTGTGGTAAATATACTAATCAGAGAAACTCTTACAAAATTCTTCCAATATCTTATTGTCTCACGATTACCACGATTTTCAGAGTAAATTTTAAGAGAAAATCCTCTCTATATATATTTTATTATTTTATATATTATTTATGTATATATACACATATGTATACATATATATATATTTACACACACACACACACACACACACACACATATATATATATATATATATATATATATATATATATATATATATTAATATATGTAATAAATATAAAAAAAATAAATAAAAGTTCTAAATATAAATATATATACATATATATATTTGTATATATATTATTAAGATCCGGTTGCATCAATAATACGAATGTATTTTATTACTTTCTATTAACTTTGAATTTATTTAATTTTATCAAGATTAAATAACAATCTTTTATACAAAGATTATATCGGCTTGCAAAATTCTTTTTACACGCGAATGATTTATTCTATATAATATCTTCTTATCTATAAAAAAATCGCGATTGATTTTATTTATCTGTCGTTACATTATAAAATTTATACTTTATAAATGCTTAACATTTCATTGCGTATATAGTTAGGTATAATTCAATTTTTTTTTTTCTCAAGTGTAGAATTCTTCACAATTTCTGTGAAAATTACACATTATTGAAAACACATTTCAATCTATCATTGCAATTTTTCGCAATACATGATAGGACGTAACGAATTGAAAAATTTAACGCTATTCGCTTTGCTACTTTGTACATATATAGATAGATGTATGCCATTCTATGCATGTTTAATTATACATAGGTAGCAAAGGTCTTTCAATAGAAATTAACGCACCGCAAATATAATTGATTGATGAGTATCTATACATAATTGTCAAGGATTACTTGAGATATCTGTGATTATATTTCACGATTAAATTGCGATGTCATGTTTGATATATCATTTTAATTAAAATTCCTATGTAATTCCCGTCTTGATATGATACGTTAATTAATTTTTAGCCATTAAATTAACAATAATGTGATATAATGTAGTATAGTTTATCTTACCTCTGTATTTTAGAGATATATCTAAACTTTATATATACGTTGTGTATAATTGACAGAACATCTTAGAAATGAAAAAATCTCACGCGTAGAATTAATAATATTTATTGTGGCGCCCTCATATTATGAAAATTGGAATTATTTACTGAAATGCTGTTATGATAATTCGAATATTATCATATAAAAAATTTACCCACGGTCGATAATACAAATTTTCAAAATATTAATTTCACAATAATTAAATTAAAATTTATTGCTCTCAAAATTCCCTTTATACACAATATGCATATATCGACGAGATAAAATATCATTGATTAAAAAAAATGCAACATTATGTTTCTTTCAATACATCACATTATGCATATAAAAACACGTAGAATATTTAATTAATGCTCCGAGATACAACTTTTCATATACATACATGTTCTTTTAAATCCTGTGAATAGGAGGAAAAAACTCGTTGATCCAAGCGTGACGTTTACGTCGTCGCTTCTACATATATTTACCGCGACTTTTTTTGTCGCCAAGAAAAAGGATATCTCCCCGCGAAGCGGACCGGCTCGAAGGAAGGTTTCGCCGGGAAAATCGATGAGCACACGACCGGCCGTCGCCGCCATTTGCGCTGCGCTCGGCCGCGTATCCTTACGCGCGCCCCTATTCGGTGGCGCGCGCATGCGCATACGCGGTGACGCGACGCGCCTCCGCGGCGGCCATCTAGTTCCCGCGCGCGACTCGAAGAGGACGGACGTGTCGGAGCATTCGTCCGCGAATTCCCTTATTTCCGACATTATCAACGCAATTACTTGTTTTCGCTCTATTTTCCTTCGACTCGAGTCGAGCGAAAATACATTTTTCACCTCGCGGAAGTGGTGGAAACCCGCGGCGCGAGTTCCGGGAAGACACGGGGTTCCGGTGGCGGCGCTCGCGTCGTCGGAAGAGCGGAGAAGAGACAGAGGTGCGGTGTTGCGTGACTGAGACTGGGTGCGAGCGATCGTAGCGCGTGTGTGTTTGTTGTGTTGCGAGAGCGTATATTTTAAGCGAGAGAGGTACTTTCAATTCTTCGTATTCTTCTTTTCGCGTGAACGCGCGGGGATCCGAGCGAACGGAGCTCGAAGGAAGAAACGATCGGCGAGAAACGAAGAAAGAAGAGTGAACGAGTGAGCGAGAGCGAAAGAGAGAGAGAGAGAACGAGCGAACGAGCGAGAGAGAAGGGGAGCACGCTTCGGTAGGAGCGAGAGACACGACGGAAAGAGAAAGAGAGAGAGTGCGTCGTCCCCTGCAGTAGCTTCATCCATCCCCACGGACGTAGATACACAGCATGTCGTCCTACATCCAAGTCGCCGAGGACGAGGGCGAGGAGCCCATCGAGCTGCCCACCGAGGACGACACCACGCTCCTGCTCACCACCCTGTCCGCCCAATTTCCCGGCACCTGCGGCCTCAAATACCGCAATCCCGAGTCCCGGACGATGCGAGGAGTCCGCCTCGTCGACGGCCGTCTACATCCGCCCGAGAACGGCTGGGGCAAGGCGATTTACTTCTGCGTGTTCCCCAAAGGTATAGAAAAAATTTTTATATATATATTTATATATATATATGTATATATACACATATATGTATACGTATATATATGATTCTCGCTCTCTAGTGTAGTATATTTATAACGTGGTGGCGCTGCGGATGCTCGCGGCGTCGATGAACGCGAATACGGAGGATGTGACGACTGTCTCTGTCGGGCGTATTCGAGAAACATTAATCCTTAGTTTGTCGCAAGTATTTCCCAGCATATTTCGAATTTTGTGTATGATTTTATATGTATGTGGTATCCATCAAGTTCGCGATTTTCATTTTTTGTTGCATTGGTTTTTAAATATTTCTTTTATCTTGTTATCTATTTCAAAATTATAGCTTGAATGAATAAAAGGTGTTACTACACTCAGAAACTCGAATACCTAATGTTTTTTTCATTGAGATATAATGAGCTGGGATTATTTATACCCTCTCCCCCTCAGCGACTCATTAAGAATTAAGGTAAACAAGCTTGTAATAGCTTATCCATGGTGAATCTACATAAATGTGGGGAATAACAGGCTCATTTAATAGAAGGAATGCCTTTTTTTTAATTTTTGATTTGTCAAAAGAAATTACAGTTCTCATAATTATGCAGAGTGTAATGAAAATACAGGCTACTTTAGGAGCGTAGTCTATAATTTCCATTTACAACTTGGTTTTTTAATCATTGGTCAATTCTTCGTTATTAATCAGTTCATCCTGCGAGGACACGACAGTTGCTACTTATTTTTTGAACAATTTTTAGGAAAAGGATTTGCTTATCTTGAAAATGAATTTTTTTTAATTGATTTGAAAATTATTTTCTACCATTATCTCTTGTATCGTTGGAAGTAAGAATTTGTTATTAATATGATTTCTCATAGAAATCAATAATTTTATATTGATTTGTTATATATGTATAAAAATTAATCTAAAAAAAATTTTTTATATTATGTATCATTCAAATTTTAACATCTTTAATATTAACTATTTTACTTTTTCTCTTATATTAAAAAATTAACAGTTCTTTCGTTAAACTTGTGAATAATCAAGAAGTTTAATTTATTTTAACTTTCAAACTCAAACATGACTGTGATGTGAAAATGATACATTTTAGACATATGTGCATATGAACTCTTTTATTTATTTCAATGAATTTTGATAAAATGCACACCTAAAGCAGTCCACATTTTTGTTATACCCTGTTTTGAAATATTTGTCATGTTGTAATTCGAGATGTTCTCATACTCCTTCATATTTTATAAGCAAAATAAAATGAAATTTATACTTTGATAGCTCGTAACAAATTTATAATCACCAATTTTTGTATTTTTTTGTATTCTCTCTATTTCTTTCTTTTTTCTTTTTTCTCTGTGAACAATGAGTTGTTAGACATGAAGATCTATTATATCTTTTCAGAGAACAAACGTAAATCTGATGACAATTTGGAAAATTCCACAGCTAAGACTAAAAGAATGGAAACGAAGTTGCGTTGCACTGATTTGATTGTACTCGGTTTGCCATGGAAAACTACCGAACAGAACTTGCGCGAGTATTTCGAAACGTTTGGTGAAGTTTTAATGGCTCAGGTGAGTCTCTTTGCATTTTTTTTATTTGCATTTGCTGAAGAAAAAATATGCGTTTAGGCTTGAGGAATAACATGAGAGTAACCTGCATTTTGGATGGTACTAACTCTTGTATTATTTGAAACTTGCTAATCTGTTAGATAAGTAAATGAGATAACACTATAGCCTTAAAGATATGAAAATAAAAGTGTCTTCTTAAAACAATAAATTTTTAACGATGTTTTTTTTTTTCATTTTGATGAATAATTTTAATTTAAATAAATTTAATATATTACATTTCTAACGAATTATAAAAAAGGACTATTGAAAGAAATATTTCACTCTTTCGTATAAATGTAATACTTAACTATAAAAGATAATGACATTGAAATCTTGTTGTAGGTAAAAAAAGATGCAAAATCCGGGCAAAGCAAAGGATTTGGCTTTATTAGATTTGGAAGTTATGAATCGCAGTTGAGATGCCTCGCTCAACGTCATATGATAGATGGCAGATGGTGCGATGTCAAGGTTCCCAACAGTAAGGTAAGACTATAACTTATTTGTAGATTCTTTCTGATTTTTTTTGCTATTTTCTATCGCTTTTTCTCGAATACGTAAGAACATTCTGATAAATGTCAAAAGTTAATGTGTGCCGCACATTTAAATCAGGAGTGAATAAATCATTTTAAAGACAATGCATATTTGAAGAATAATTTGCACTTTTGCCATGGAAATAATAGCAATGTTGCAATTCCTTATTATATTTAATTGTTTTGTGCAATCATTCGGTAATGCTGCTTTCATTTTATGATTGAAATCATTATCATTGTTGCTATTTGATAAGGAAAATTGTATTTTAATATTACATCAATCATTAATGTATTGTTCTTTGTAGTAACTATTTTAATAATAATAGTATTTATTATAAATATATATTTATTATAAATAAATATTAAAACGCGCGGTATATAAAAGATTGAATTCAGATTGTGCATGATACTGTTAAACAATCAATCTGTTTTTGAAATGATATATTTTCTCCCTCAATTGATACATATGGCTTCAATCTGTACATATTTTCTAAAGTAAGAGAGAGGTCTATAGCAAGACTTGTAACTAAATTATTAAAATAATTTATTATACTGCAACTCTAGGATGAATAACTTTTTATGCATTTGGTCCCAAATTATCTCAGTTTGTCAAAAAGTGTGAATCATTTCTGTATCCTTACTGACTGATATATTATATGTAACGTTGAATGAATATTATCAAAACAAGTTGAAGTTTTTATTTTATGGCTGTGACTTTGTATTTTATGACGTCAGTTTTAGATGAACGCCGTGTTTGTAAATTCTTTCTCAATGATTTAATATTAAATGCATTTATATAAAAGGACAAAAAGATTACATAAAAGGATATTCTATTTGTAAAAAATAATATATATCTTTTGAGACAAAGATTATAAAGCAATATCTAATTTTTAAATTAAACTTTCTAAAACTTTCCCCTGCATGGGTCTGTAAATATCTTTACATTTGAAGATACGTACAGATATAAGCACACATGTAATATTTTAAAATTAAATGATGGAATGTCGTGTGAGAGACAGTAAAGTAAAATTGATAAGCTTTACGATCACGTGGGATAATATCTTATCTTGTATAGACTTCTCGTCTATCTCCATTTATCCATATAACGGTTTAAGTAAATGTCAATGTTTTTTTCACACTCTTTGAATATATACATATATTACATTTATATATAAATCTATATAAATATATACGGGGCGTGTATTCGCTGTTTGGTATAAATAGGTGAATGTGTGAGAGAGACGAGTGGTGGTGAAATTATATACACAAAGAGAAAGAATGCAAACTGTCTGTATGTACGAATGTATGTTTATGCGAGTGTGTTTTGTGTGTGAGCGCTACCGAGGAGAGAGCAATGTCAATAATGTGTTTTTGCATGAATAACGTAAATAGTGTAGTATGTTTGTGTGTCTCCAAACGGTATGAGATCCTCTTCAGAGAGGAAATGATTTTAAATAGTCTTGTCAGAGAGAGAGAAATGAGACTCGATATATAAAAACATACCAACTCTTATAAGCAAGCAAGCTCCTAAATAACGTCGTGTGTTAATCTTTCTCAAGATTCCTTTAATAGCGGCGAAGCTCTCTTGCAAAGCTTCGACTGCGACCAATGAAGGAAAAGAAGAAAAAATCTTCGGGCGAATTTTAATATCTCTTTAAGATGAAAAAAATGAAAGTATATACTTGATAAAATTGCGTAAAATGATATCCTGAGTCGAGAACGTGAGTGATGAGAATATCGTGAGAAGGAATGTATCATATTATTTACACTGAGAAAGTGTGTTAATCGTGTTAAAGGATAAATATTTTCACGTTAATTTTTTTCAAGCGCGTATCTTCTTGCGGATACGTTAAATATTGTAATGGGTATGAGACTTGTGGTGTGCTTGGAGTATGCAAATGAAATAATCGCGCAACGTGTGAAGTGATCAGAAAAATTTCTCAATCTTCGAGAAATCACGCGAAATCATTATCCCGGGAAGTTATTACTTAGGGAACAATAAATTTAATTAATCTCTGGTGCGAGATTCGCGATTGTTACAATTATCCAAATAATTAAAAAATAGAGACACAAGTATGAGTCACGTGAAAAGATTTTGTGAAGCGATGTTGAGTATGAGTGCATAATGAGAAAAAAATTTGCGAATGAATAGCGCAAATATGTGTGTGCGTGTATGTGTGTATGTGTGCATATGTATGTATGTGTGTGCATGTGTCACGCGATTTCGCGAATTCTTAGATTCAGGGTGTCTATTCTCTCAAAAAGTCGAAGATTGTTAGGTTTTTTCATCTTGAAAAATCTGGGAATTCTGTCCTGGAGTTTTATTGAGTCAGAGAATTTTTTCCAAAATTGTCTTATAATTTTACTTTTATTTAACATTTAAGAAACATATGTTAATAATATCTTTGCAATATTTATTTTAGTTTTTATTAAAGTCTCATGTGGTTTTATTGATCTTCTCTTAATATCAAAGTCTCATATAAATTTCATTAGAAATGTTCAATTTTTTAAATGATATAATAAAGTAGAGTACTCTTTAAAATGTTTAACATTAATTATTTTTCGTTTTATATTTTTACATATATCTTTAGTGTTTAGATATATTGCATTTTATTGTGATGTCCAAATTAATTTTACAATTAATAAATCAATATCAAATACTAAAAAACTGCATTCAACTTTGTTTGCAATCGTATAAAATATTAGACATTAGCGCGTATAATAAAAAAACTAATTTTAAAAACATTTACGAATTTTCTTATTTTACCTAAAATTTTAAACACAAAAATACCCGGAAGAGATCAGGCTTTTTTTCCACGATTTGAGTAGACACCCTGCGGATTTCACACTGCGGAACGTTTTTCGTGCGATCGGCGGGAGATCGAAATAATAATAACAATAACAATAATAATAATAATTTCCGAGATTTGCATAATTCGGTTCTACACGCGGCTATAAATACTATTAATCGAGCCGCTCGATTGCGGAGCGAATGCATATACATATTATACTATGTGTGCTTAAAAAAAAATCATATCGATCCAAGTCTGTATGTGATTGTCGAGGCTGGTGTAATCTGGTTACAGAATATTGATGGCTTAATGATGGCACGTCATTATGATACGGGTAAGCACGGTAGCGAGTGCTACCGACCTATACCGGTGCACACGCCGAGTAATCGCCGAGTGCCGGCGTCGAAGCCTTACGTAGCCAGCGTAAACTCGTCGGCGTCGTCGTCGTCCGAGGCCGCTCCGCCACCGAGCGCAGCGCCTCTTCCTCGATACGACTCGGAATACGATTACAAAACCACCCACTACCCGTCGTATCCCCCGAATTATCCCTACGAAGATAACAAGTACAAGTACGAAGGCAACGGCGGTGGTGGTGGTGGTGGCGGAGGCGGAGGTGGAGGTGGTGGTGGTCATCAGCAACAAGCACCGCAATACAACGCCTACAGCGAGAAGCAGCAGCCTGGTTACGCCGTCTACGAGGAATCATCCCCTGCCTACGACTCACGCGGCTACAACATGGTGGCACCTCCTCATGCGACCGCCGTCGTTCCCGGGGCTCCGGCTGCCAACCCGACGTATCCACCGTCCGACGCGGAATACGGACCCAGGTATTACGGCGTCGAGGGACGTGCGCCCCGTATCCGGTCGTCACCGACTGTCCGGAACAGCAACAGCAGCAATATTCTGACAAGGGAAGGTACAGCAGCAATTACGGGTACGAGCAACGTTGCTACTACGATCATCAGCAGGTGGACGGTCGTTACTCGGCCGCTCCGGCACCCGGGGATTGCAGATACGCCATGGAGGTGCGTTACGCGGACGTGAGGCATCCGGACGGTCATCATCGGCATCCGCCAGCGGTCGAACCGGGCGGTCGAGAGGCGGCTGACGCCTGCAGATATCTGGCAGCAGACGGTCGCGAGTTGGACAGACGCTATGTCGTCGACGGTACTGTCAGGGAACACGTTGTCGTGGACGGCAGGTATGCAATGGACGGCCGCGAGATCGACGGTCGTCATTACGTCACACCCGACAGCCGGGACCCCACCGTCGTCGACGGCAGATACGCCGATCCAACGAGGTATCCGGCGAAGGAGAACTATTACGATCGTTATTACAAGCATCGGCCGTCGAGGGATCATCATCATCATCATCACCACGTCGCGGACACGAGATACTAACCACTCGGGGGAAAGCTCTCTCGTGACTATTCGTAAATACAATCGATCATGTTTCAATGGGAATATTAGGTCGTCGTGTTTCCAGGTTTTTTTTTGTCTCTCTACCTGCATTCGATACATTCCTCAACCGAAATTTATTTATACCACGTATCTATGAGCGCTAAGATTTATATATTATTGTATATTTAATTCTGACATTACAGGGTGCCTCCTTTTTGAAAAGGTATGCTTAAATAATTCAGAGACGTTGCCTTTTAGAAGAAATTGAATATTTTAAATATTATTTGATGTGAAAAATTGTTGAGTAAAACAATTGAAAAATGAATGATTTATGACATGAGATATTCTTGTTTTAAAAATTATGAAATATCTTGTAATACATTTAATTTTTTTTAAGTATACAGTTTTACATTGCAAATTAAAATTTTTTTAAAAATTAGTGGTATGTTTTGAGTAGGTTTTAAAAAAGTAATAATGACTCACAAAAATGCTTCAATATGAAATAAGACGTCACCTAATTCTACAATTTTATTTAAAACATTTTTTTTCTAAAACGCGACGAGTCTCAATTATTTAAGCTTATTAAAAAAGAACATTCTGTATAACATATATAAGAGAATCATAGAAGATGCGTTCTATTTTCGAATGAATGTTTAAAATGAAACAATTAACAGATACATAATAAGATTGTTTATTTCTTTAATGAAATAATAGAATATAAATAATCGATTATATAATTATGTCACTTTTTATGAAGCATATTGACTGTTCTTTTGTCGAATATATAGTAAAAGGTATGAGTTATTAATAATTCACGTGTTAAATTCTTAGACAAATTAATGCCTGGATTGTTAATACTTGTTTTATACAAATAAAAAGATATCCTAAAATATTTAATTTTTCTTGATAAAAAAATGTAATTATATTTATCTGGACTTTATTAATTTTATATTAATAGAATTATATTAATTAATTTTATTAGGAAATAGATACGTGGTATGTTGTTCATTAAAATGCGTGGAATATTTATTTTGTAGCGGAACTGTAAAGTTAATTTTATTAATATTATACTACTCGTTTATTTTTGCGGATTATATCGAAATAATATGTACATTATACAGAACTGATTAATTGAACTCTATGAACATAAGAAAAAAACATTTATGGATATATTATATACATATATACATATTCCCATTAATTCATGGAGTTTGTTAAAAGTAACAAATATGTTGTTTAATAGTAGCAATAATTAGTTTTGAAATAATTGTTCACATTTTTATCGGACATGTGCTTATTCAAATTAAGACGGTGTAATGTAGCATGAGATTCTCTACATCGAAAGTATATATATTTAAAAAAAAATAAAAAAAGAAAAGAACATTGTACAGATTGATGCATGGATTTCAAGTGATCATATAGTGCTTAAGTGTTGGTTTTTTTTTTATAACAGACGATTTATATGTGTAAATCGAGCCAGCCAATATTATATATATATTATATATATATGTATATGTATATATAATATCTTTTCTCTCTTGAGCCGATAAATAAATATGAGTTAAGAGATTTTTTTTCTATAAAACTTGACGTTTAGTGCAGATTAATTGCAATCGACGGAACGTTAGAATCTTAAGTCGAAAGCAAAAAAATTGCGTGTACCTCTACTGAACTGTGTAAAAATACGCTGGTGATGATATACTTTCTGATGTAAAAAAACAAAAAGAAACTATACTGTAATTGTACTTATAATACTTATTTTGCCAGTCTCTTGACGAACGGTATATGTCTCGCAGCGATTCTACCGGCGCCGGTGATTGTGAGTAATGTGCACTGTACGCAAGTTTTACTTGGATAACTTGGTGAACCTGTCTGTGACATGATTGACTGATTGTGCGTTTGTGTGTAGGAGGGAATGATTCAGCAAGTACCCTGCAAGGTATTCGTCGGCCGCTGTACTGAAGACCTAACCGCTGATGATCTGCGAGACTATTTCTCCAAATTTGGCGAAGTCACGGACGTATTCATCCCGAAACCCTTCCGCGCGTTCTCGTTTGTCACTTTCCTAGATCCCGAGGTCGCCCAGTCGCTGTGCGGCGAGGATCACATTATCAAGGGCGTCTCGGTACACGTTTCGAACGCCGCGCCCAAGTCCGAGGGCAATAATAAGAACTTCAACAATCAAGTGAACTCGAACATGAGGGGTGGCAGGGGCGCGCCGGGACCCGTCGATAATAACGTCCAGGGCAATTATCAGGGTAATCGTTACATGGGTCATTCGGGGAACAATATGGGTCCGAACGGTTGGAACAATCCCGGGAATCGTGGAAATCTCGATATGCCAAATCTCCAGGCCTTGGGTATCACCGGCCAGAACAATGGCGGCGGCGGTGGTGGCGGGATGTCGAATCCTCTGGCCATGGGCGGTCTGAATCTGTCCGCGTTGCCGGTCAATCCGGCCCTGGTTGCCGCCGCTCTAAACCAGGCGTCCTGGGGTCTGATCGGGAATCTGCAGAATCAGGGAAACGATCAGGGTTATTCGAATCAGCCGGGTCCGCCGGTCAGCCGCCTTCCGGTAACAACAGCATTGGTAACAGCGGTAACTCCGGCTTCCTCAGCTGGATGAATCAAGGCGGTGGTGACGGCAATACCGGGAACCCCGGCACCGGCGGTCCCGGCCCGAATAACCCGAATGCGTCCCAGGGCGCCTGGCAGAATCATCCGGGTCAACGCGATCAGAAGTCGAATACCTTTCTCAAGTACGAGTAAATTCAACCGGGGCCGTGGGTCTACTCGTAAAACCAAACGGATCCTCCATCCACGGGTCCCGACGCAAGAACCTTGAATCTGACGAAGGCTACGGAAAAAAAGGAGGGAGAGGAGGGGACGGTCAGAACGGGGGTCGAGAGTACAAAAAAAAAACGCGCATCGACCCCGAGTCAACAGGAAATAAAAGGGAAAAAGAAAAGAGAGCCAGAGCCTATAGTACGTTGACATATTTTCTAATGTTTTTTGCACTAATCTGCCACTCTCTACTGCGTGTATTATATAATATTTCTCGAGACTCTCCCCACTCTCTTTACTGGTTTGACGAATTAGCACAATTCCAAATTCGTTGAAAAAGAGTTTAAGGCTTATGTATGTAATGGCATGGATAGCTCCGATCATCGTACGTGCTTTTGTGTGATTTCTCTGGTGTGATGAAGCGTATATATGTTATATATATATATGTTTATATATATATATATATATTTATATATATGATTTAAATCGGCATGATAAAATCGATATGTGTGAGATATTAATGTAGATGTGAATGGTATATAGCGTTGCAAGGATGTAATTAATAATAACGTACACGTGTATGTGCTTTTATTGTAACAATTGGTGACACATGAATGGTTTACGTGTTTAAGAATATCTAAGAGATCTCTGGAGTCCGAAGGAGACTTGCGCTATTTTGGCATTTAATTATTACGATAAAAGGAAACAGTAAAATATATAAAAAACTATTCGCGCATATAAAATGTAAATCACTACTTACTGCCATTAATTACAAGAGCTGTATTTGCATCATTTTTTTATTCTCTGTAATTAAATGAATACTGGAGTTTTTCGAACAATTGTTAAATTATCGGCAAGTTGGAAATAGATCAAGTTTTCCTTCGTCACACAAATCTCTCCGATATATGAGGAAGATTTTAGAAGTGTAAATATACTTTCTAAGATTAATTAAATTCGAGATCAAATCGCATCTTTGATTTCATTGTTAGCCATGATTAATTAAGAGCCTTTTCCCCGTTATAAAAAAAAGTATACATACATTCGTTGCGTAGAGACTGAATATCTATTGATCAGAGAAATCGGCTAATCGTGGCTATTGCAATTGATATATAAGCGCAATATATGGCAATAGATACGCAAGATTAATTAACTGACTGACTTATCATGTTGAGAGTCGGATTTTTTGCTGGAACGTTGCTGTTGTTTGTAAGAAAAGCGTTTATTCGTTATAATAATGAGATATATCAAATATCGGGCAATCATATTTTGAATGCTTAAAAGCTACGCAGTGTTTCTTTTTTGAACGCGTTACTTTTGAACAAAGATCTTTTGGCCAATTTATTTAAAATGAATGTCCTTCGTATATTCACATTGTATATATTTCCGAGAGTCTTTTAAATTTAGAGAATGTTTAAATGCAAAAACTATTTTTTTCAAAATACCGCAGATGTATATTTTTCTGAAATATTTTTACTTTTAATTATAAGAGTTATATTTATAGTTATCTAGTTTTTCCAGCAAAACTTTTTCTCGATATGCATAATATTCTCTTAACTTCAATTCTTATTGGCTTAACAAGTTCTTATCAATTCATTAAAGGGATTTATTCTCAAAAAGTGCCGAAACGATATTTTAATAACTCAAGCGATGGATATCGTAAAGTGGACTGATATAACAAGAAACACATTTTATAAGAAAAGAGATATATATATTTTTTAATGTATAAAAAGATAATCGATATTGAGATTAAAAAATTTAACGCGATTATCTTTTTAAACATTATTAAACAGATTCAAAATTTTCTTTAATTGTGGTGCAAAGTTACCTATCTGTTGGCGCAATCTTATTATATCTTACAGTAGTATGTTTCCTATTTTCTTTTTTTGCGGAAGATTGCCAAAACATTTGATAAGATACTTTGACAGAAATATAAAGTGAATATAAAGCGAACGGTATGACTGTCCGAAAGCGTATGAGTGTGTCAAAGTTACAAGAGACACTTAAAGATTGATCGCAGCTATCCCTATATTGTATATTACTATACCGATTTTTGAACTTTTGTTTCAATTATCTCAAATATAACACATAAGTAGTCTATTATGTGAGAATTTTACACCGATGTGTGCAAGTGTGTGCAAAATTATTTGATTGGTTGCGCGTGAAAGGAGAGACATTTGAATTGATCGGATTTTTTCTATTTTAATTGAGCAATCTCGAGAAAAAACCACAGAGAAAAAAAACGGTTTAAAATGTCTTATATATTATATATATGTATGTGTATAATGTGCCGTAAGTTTTGAGTGAAATACCTTTTGATAGGAAAGAACTTTTAAAACAGTTTCCTACCAATAATAAGAGTAATATGAAAAAAAATAGCTTTACACACACAGGTTGAGAATATTTATTTTTCAAAAAAAGAAAAAAGAAAAATGCGAAAGAAAGAAAAAGAAAGAGTCAAAAGTAATTTAGCAACGCACGATGAGGAAGAATGCAATTAACATTTCACAATTTATAGTCAATAAACTTAAACATACGGAATAGTTACATCGTTAATTAAACTTTTAAAAAATCCGCATTCATCACCGCGATATATCACTCTGTGTACGCTATCATTAAAAAGTTATTTAGATCGAGAACTATTTCAGAGAGAAAATACACTAATTATCTAATTATATTAATTGAAAAAAAAAATAAAATAATCCTTGTAAGAGGTGTATATGTGCTGTTGTGCTTTTTTTCATTTATCGTACAGTGAGATTTCTCATAAATTTCCTATATATATATACTATATACACTTGACGCAAAATATTACTTAATAATTAATACAATTTTCTAAGAATAATACTCTCTCGCGCTCTTTCTCTCTCATTATAGTGTGATTTCTTGTCGATTTCTGTGCGTGTATAGATGAGAAAAAAATCTCTAATAGAAAATGTCGAGATTGAATTGTTCAACGCACGTGTATGTGTGTATGACGGTCGAATGTATTTGTTAACGGTCGTCTTGAAGAAACTACAAGCGTGACAAAGTTTTTACTACTACTTAGGCAAAAGTGACATTAAATAATACTGCTTGTTTAATGAACTGTACGTGTACTTGGTCAGCGCGAGATGAAGCAATGAGATGACTGATAATAATAATAATAATAATAATATAAAAAGCGAGCGCGAGAAATTATATATGTTGTAAGTCTTAGATGAGAATGAGCAAAAGAAAAGTCGTCCAATGTGTGTCTGATATATATATATACATATATATATATATATATATACATACTTAGAGATCGCGTGAAAAGAGATTGTTTATATACGTAGTACATGTAAAAAAATGCTAAATCAGATCCCGGTCGAGATATGAACGGAGATTTGCGGATTTCGTTGATCGCGTCATTCTGTAAATTTGTTAAATCGATCTCTACACACAGAAAAAGAGCTGTAGTTTAAGACAACTTTTAACAGACACCTAGAAACCGTACCGTATAGCTTGAATTGAAGCACGAATGTTCGCGCTTTATAAGTGTCTGGATAATATCTTCAGGGAATATGCACAGTTCCTTACGATACAAAAAAAATTAAAAATACAAAGTTACATATAAGAAGAGGAAGATAAAATCGTACGATATGTGGACAATATAGTCGATCGATCGGTTCGAACATTCGTGCACGAGTCGTGATTATGCATCTATACGTGATCTGACAATCACAAACTCGTAGACACTTTTCTTTTTCTTCTCACTCCAAAATATATGCACGGTTAATCTTTACGCTCGGATAATTGTCGGAAAAGAGCAGAGAATCAACATTATACAAACAAATATTCGTGTCTGATTTGGGAAAAGTGTAAAGAAAAATTATGTAAATGTTGTAATATAATAAGATCCTATAATCTTTTTTATAATAAAAAAAGGATGATGCAAAATTTATTTAAACTCGCGAGAATATATTTCGTTCTCCTTAAATATTAAAAAAGAAATTAATTGTATTGGAGTTTAAATAAATTTTTGTCTACGATTATACTAATTGTCAGATCATGTATATTTTTCTTTTCAAATCGTTTAAGATAGAGCGATGTCGTGTCGATGCATCATCTTCGTGATCCCATGAGTTAGAGATTTCGTGAGGTTTCGCGCGCGCGAGATGCGAGCTCAAAGGATGCCTTTGCAACAAAAAAAAAGAAAAAAACGATTTGGAAGCGAAGCATGTAAATACGGATCTACATTGAATATAAAGCAATTTTAATATCGCTCAGAAAAAAAATGTAACGAATTTTACTGTAGAGTTAGTTGCGCGGTCTGTAAAGTCGCACCGATATAATATTGTTGTGTCTCGAGAGAGAGGGAGAGAGAGGAAAGTGAAAAAGAGAATTGTGCATGTGACAGGTCCGAGACCACGTGTGTCGTGTGAGAATGTTGATTTTTAAATCCGTCGATCTCGATTGTTGCGCGAAATTGTTGGGAGAAAGAAGGGGGCTGGAAGGGAAGTTTGAAGTTTCTTTGAGAAAAAGGAAATCGCGAATCTGTCATTCTTTTTTTACACTTTTGGGAGAATGTTATTTACGGGACCCATCATTTAATAAGTGTTTCAGATTTTTTTTACTGGAAAAAAATGTCGCAAATGTGCTATGATTGATAATTATAGAAATATTGATGTTTCAATTTTTTTTTAATATCTTGAAATTATTTCATAGAAATTTTTTATCAAATTTTTTTAATATAACAAAAGTCTAATTTTAATTTAATTAGGAGAATAAAGGAACTTCGCCTTCACTTAGGCTCTTCTTTTGTAATATACATTAAATTATTTTATCAAATATATTCATTCTTAAATGTCCCGGAAATAATATTCTTGCCTGCATTTTTAAGATACAAATGAGCCGAATAAAAAATTGACGAGAATTTTTTTATGCGTATACGTCACGAGAACGATCTCGTGATTCTTTTGTGTGCGCATCGAAATTCATTGAAAAAGAGAAAAGGTGTCGCAATCCTTTTGTCCACACGACGAAAGAAGTAATATGTTGGGCGAAATTTTTTGTAGGTGTGAATATTAAATTCTGACGATCGCGAATAACGGCATTCTCTTCGTACGTATGTGTTTCCCACAATTCGTACCGACAGTTTTACAAAAAAAAAAAGAAAAATGAAAATTGTAAAATATCTCAACAAATGTTTGCCGTGATGATGCGAAAAAAATACTCAACGCTCTCCGTAACATTCTCCATTGATTGTAGTGTATGTTAATACTATGCCGAGAATAAAAGACCCAAGCACCGTGGGCTATCACAGATTTCTTCGCGTGTTTTTAAATACGAATCTCTTATAAGCGACATACATATATCCGTCGACTGTCCCAGAATTTTATTATCTCTTATGAAATTTGGACCTTTGTCCACTAATCGCGAATTATAATTCGATGAAAATACACGCAAATTCATCTTCAAGACTGAAAATAAATGATAAAATATAATTTGTCGGTCGATGTAAAGTACATAAACCTTTAGCAGGGTGTCTACTTCTTTATATTTAAGTTTTTATTAAAATCTCATGTGATTTTATTAACGATCGCTTATCAAGGTATTATATTAGTTTCATAAAAAATTATTCAATTTTTTTAATAATATTAAAAAATAAATTATATATAGAATACTCTCTAAGATGTTCCTAATAAATTATTTTTTGTTTTATATATTATGATATTTATATTTTGTTCAAATTAATTTTAAGATATTAAATACTAGAAAAAATTGCATTCTTAACTTTCTTCGTAATCGTACGAGTAGAAACTGCATCCAATTTTTTAATTTTATCTAGACTTTTAAATGAAAATATCTGGTGGATCAGATTTTTATAAGATATGAGTAGACACCCTGTTTACTTAAACAACGAAAATTTGAAACACTTATCGAATATTGAAGTTTGCAAAGTTGTAAAAAAATGATCATTTTCATTATTATACTTTTTATATTTATTTTGGGGCGGTCAGTGCATACATCCAAAAATTATCACATCTAAAAACAAGCGATTTAAAGCATTATATACAAGCATGCACAAATTTTTAATTTATCTCACCAATATCTTAACGAAACTATTCTCGATATTATATTCATCATATGTACCCAAAGTTTCAACGAAACATTTCTACGAATTATCGACTTTGTTAAGAAACAGAGTTGCGCGTTTCGTAAAAATTAAAAAAAAACGCGATAATGTGAGATGACAGTTCCTGGGGGCGAAATATGTCTATGAACTATAGAAAACTGTAAAAAAGCGAGAGTGGAAGAGTTTGAAAAGTAATGTAAACAGTGCACAGCCGGCCTTTCGATTGATGACTGAATGAAGACGATGATGACTGAAGTAAACATATGGAAACATCCGCAGATCCTTCGAAGCAACAGGTGATTACGATCTCTGACATTTATTTCTCCTTCATAACATCTTACACAGATCAAGTAGAATAATCATTCAACTCATCGATACTCTAGCTTCTCCCGGTGATTTACGAAAAATTTGTTTTTGCATATCCTGTTGTCATTTTTTGTTCTTTTTTAAATTACATTTACCAATTTTTTTAAATATTTTTTTTAACAAAGCTTTTGTGAAAAGAAAACTCTTTGATATGACAAGGCTTTTATAATTTTTTTAACATTTTTTTTCATCATTTTTTACCTTTTCTCGTTCTACCCCCCCAATTCTCGGAGAACAGAAGAACGAGAAAATTTCGCAACAAATATCTAATTTGAGTATTATTGCTTTGCTGCAAATTTTTTTACATTTTTTTTTTGTGAATTACGCAAATTCGTGTTCTTGCTTTTTTGACGTTTTTTGAAAAAAAAACATGACTACAGTCGGTTAACAATTCAGAGATGAGATTTCACAGGCATACTCTTTTCGTACTCTCTACCTTCATTCAGAAACGAGCCATGGAGTCGAACTGTCAACAATTTTCGAGGAATGCGTGTGTTTTGTACGCTTTTGAAAGATAAAAGAGAGAGTGTGAGAAAAGAGGATATCACATACACATACATACAGCAGTTGTATCGCAACTTCTTCTTCTTGTTCATCACCTCCTGGAGTACAGTAAGACAGAATGTTAGTACTCTAGAGTTTTAAGGCCGACCCTCGAAGATTCCGATCAACGCCAGATCACTAATCCTGTACGATTCTTGTTCCAACAGCCTTGGGTGAATTATATATATATATATTATATATATTTATATATATATATATATATATATATATATATATATGTGATGATTGAGATGTCCGTGAACGTGAAACTCTTGGATTGACACTTGGATGGAAGGAACAAATGATTGACAAGTGGATTGATGCAAGTGGAAAGAGCGAGCGAGCGAGAGAGGAAGAGGTGAAAGAGGAGAGATGAGAGAGCAAAAGGAGAGAGAGAGAGAGTATATTTTTATTACAGGAGAATATATATATATAGAGAGAGAGAGAAATGATATATATATGATGATGATGATGATGATGATGATGATAATGATGGTGATAGTGATGGTGATGATGATGATGATGATGATGATGATGGTGATGATGATGATGATGATAATGATGCACTGTGCCTAGAGAGAAGTCTTTACTAGACAAAAGTGTGGAGCGAGAATGCTTTTTTGAAAGCGTGGGAAGTTTTTTCTCGTAAGCGTGACCGCGAAAAAAAATAAATGCCCGGAGGGCGAGATTCGCTGGACGGTTTAATGTTCTTACCGCGGTTTTGCTTTCAGATTGCGAGAGCGATCGACAGTGGTTGATCCGTGATTAATCCGCGCTTGCTCTCGCGGGAAAAAGAGATAAGAGAGATTCCTGAGGTCGGCGCGGACGCGGTTATATTTGGAAAACAGGGGTCTCTCTCTACGGGTCCCGGAAATGTTAATCTTGATGACAAGCGGCGAGAGAAGGGGTGCGATGCGATATTAAAGTAATTATTAGCATATTATCTCTCATACAGTTTAATTTTTTTTCAGGAATTTCTCATACTTTTTACGTTGGACTTTAAAAGCTTTAACTGTCAGACTTTGTATTTGACGCATTCGCAGCCGAGTAATTTTTTCCAAAAACTTTTTTCAAAAAACTAAAATCCGGATTACAATAAACTTATAAATCTACAGCTGGTTGCCGCACACAGTTTGATCATTGAAAACTGATAAAATTGTCCTTTAAAATAATATACATGTAACTACTTCAAACGTTCAAAATTGAAGAACATTTATCTATGTACAAATCCAAATAGAGATAATGTCAAATTTATGTTAAAATTAGAAAAGCTTTTAAAATTCATTTTACATGCTCTTATTTTAAAAAGTGAGACTTAGAAGCAACGGGGCCCGTAACTTTTTATTGTTCCACAACACTTTGAAAAGAAGCAACAATTTATTAATATGAATTTTTTGCTATTCTATATATACCAAAAATATATAAAACAAATTTGTTCGAGATTAAAACTCACTTTGATTAATTTGTACTTTTAATAATAGACGACTACGTCAGCGGCAAACAACTAAATAGATTTTTAAATAACGTAGTGGTAAAACTACGTCAATGGCAACCAGCTATAGATTTTAAAAAGACGTACGACTATACGTCAGAGCGGCTGCGAATGGGTTTAACTTAAATTTATTAGCAGCAATTTTCATTGACAGCTCAACGCTTTATTAAAAAGAAACGAAATAACAAAAAAAGTATTATGTATAATATAATTCTCTATTTATTGTCACTTAATTTATATGTAAATTATATTTGTAATAAAAGATATGCCTGTGTTATATATAAATAGAAATTATCCAGAAGTCTTGATCCCTAAAAAATTAACGTGAATTACTTTTTATATGTAATAACGAAATTTATTTACTTGTTTCAGATACGGTATGCTTCGCACATGTATCCTATCGGGCATCGTATGTGAGGAGACTTTGAGGAGAATGCTGAGTGCGTGTAAGGGACATTAAAAAACGCAAGAAAAAAATTAATTACTAAAATAAAATTGCATATTAATATCGGGAACGCGCGTTTTTTGATTCGCATATGTTTTATATAAAATGTTTATAAATAAGAAAAAGAGAGAAAAAGAGAGATATTATATCGATAGTATTTAATAAATATTTCTATCATAAATATTTTGCGTCAACGTGTATTATTGCTGAAAAATATTATGTTTGGCCTCTTTTATTTTATATTATATACGTAAAATATAGTATATTTCTCGAGTTAACAAGACGATTAAATTTTACTTCAACAAATCTGAAGATAAATTTAAGTTTTAGTTCTGAAATTTCTTTTTTGCACGCAAGACAATCGACAAAATCAATAATTTATATCTAGTCTCGTTTTATATCATTATGAAGCTTTAGGAAAATATTTCTCGAGTAAAAACGATAATTCAGTTTATTGTTTTAACAAATATACAGATGAATTTAGGTTTCGATCCTGAGAGATTTATTTTTCACGCTAAACTGTTAATAAAGACAATCAAGTTTATTATTTTTATCTGAGTTTGCAAAAAAAATTATGTTGTCGATAAGACAGATCACTTCCACCTCCAAGATTCATGGCTCAGCTGTCGGCAATATTGCGAACTGCATTACCGATCGAGTTTGACAGCTGTCAAATGTCTCGAGTATGAAACGTCAAAGCGCCACGATCGGCGACGAGCCGCACATACATATCTCTCTTATCTTCTTCTTTCCCTCGGGTTTTTACGGGGGCCGAGGAGGTGCGTCTGTGGTGGTGCGCGGTTCTGACCGTGAGAAGAGAGTCGTGTGTGCGCCAAATCCATCGATTAACGGGAACACACAAATAAGATGCAACGTCGTCTCGCTGTTCGCCGCGCGAAGTCTGGCCGTGTCGAGGAGCTGACGATAACGAGCGGGCACCGAGTCGGACGTTAAAAAAAAAAAGTGGACGTTATGGGAAGATGGTGAGGCGGCTCGGTCACCTCGGCCACTGGGAACATGGGTTCGCAAACGCTGGAGATCTTGAGACAGGGCGTCTGGGCGAGCCTGACGGGCGGCTGGTTTTACGATCCGCATCTCGACGTTTTCTCCAACACCTTCCACCTATACATCTGGCTGTTCCTGCTCTGTCTGCCGTTCACGATTTATCTGGTAAGGGGAAAAAAATAAGGGAAAAAGCGACATCCTTTTATGACGTGTTTCGTGTCAGCTGTTTATTTTGAAAGTTGCATAAGGATCTCTCTCTCGATCTCAACTTTCCCGCGAAATGATTTCTTTTCAAATAAATCGTGACAGGTCAAACATACTTTGCCTTCTTTGATTTATGTCACTTTCGAAAAAGACAGCTCTCTAATGTCAATATTTTAAATGTTTTTTTTACATATATACTTATAAATATAATTATAACAATCGTAAAAAAATACATACTTATATTTAATATAAATTTTATATAAATATAAAATGATATATATTGTTATATATATTTTGTTATATATAATATTATATAAATATGATATTAAACGTAAAATGTTTATATATTTAGTATAAAAAAAAATATATTTCTTAATTATTTATTTTAAGAAATATATATATTTTTTATATATGGAATTCATATATGGAATATCATAGATATTTGCTATTGTAACAGTTTGTTAAGCACAGTATTTCATATGTTTAGTATTTTCCTCCTACGTTATACGTTTGGTTGGCGTATTGCTCGTCGTTTGTTGCCGTCTTTGGAACAATAAAGTGTATGAATCATGCTCTACACTGTGTATATGATACAACAGAGTGTTTGGAAGAATCGAATCAGACCATCAGTCAGCAAAAGTCTGAGAGCGAAAAGAAACGAGCAGGCCACAATAAATCCAGGGAACAGTCGCAAGATCAGATGGGCCATGGCATAGAGCTGCAAGTTTTGAATGGTACATTGCATAATTTAAACATAGAATAAATCAGCTTAATTAGTTTAATAGCTGACTAGAATTGAATATTATTAGAGTTCTTATATGAAGAAAATAATAATAGGTATAGATTAGTTCTTCAAGAGTAACAATAACGTTTTTACATTAAAGAAACAAGGATAATTATTATACTATAATAAAGTTAAATTTTTTTGTTTAAAAATTTCATCTGAATATTTCATCTATTATGATTGCATTCAATAATGGAATATGATGTGCATGTTATATGAGACTATGATATATTCTATGTTTGTAGTATATTAATTATATCATAAATATATGATTTTTTAATATTTTGATCTTTTTTATATATAAATTTTAATTATTTATTAAAAAAAACAGATTGTATGCGCAACACATTTTTTCACATATTTTTTTCTACTTTCAGGTAAGACGGATACACCACCTGTAGAATGTTCATCACGTAATTCGTTTATAGAACCAAATATACAGAATGCCGATGCAGATAGTATAACGTCTGAGTATAATCGGGATAAACCTAGTTCGACCATAGATTTAAAAGTAGAGATACATAGGAAAAATAGTTCGGAAAGTTCAGAGGAAGCACAGCAGCTTAGCAAACCGATGGTGACCAGCATTAATGTACACGAAGCTGAATTAGTTTCTGCGCAATATCATGAGCCACGTTTTAAGAATATTATAAATGGTAATTGAATATTTTATGACATTTAAATTTAATTTAAATTTAAATTTAATTTTAACAAATATTTCTATCCAATATGCATGCAAACAGATAGGAACGATAACTAACATTAATGATTGTAATATTTATTCATAGAATGGAAATTGTTGCGGCAAAAGTGTGTAGTAATAGCGGAGGAGGATCGACCGGGACCGCGCAAATTGTGTCGACATGCACCTGAGGATTCCAGAAATCGTCATCCTAAACAAAGCAGCCTGGGAAAGACTGGATCGGAGAGCCAGATAAAGCAGACCAGCTCGTTGGAATTGGAACATCCCGGTGACGATTATCCATATTGGAAGTCCAACCAGAGCGTTCGCAGACTCAATTCCAACTCCATACCAATGGAAACGCATCTGATGAATGATCATCCGCAGAGCTTGGAAATTATATCAAAGAAGGGAGATACAGACAACAATAAGATCTCGTCTCATCCGCAATCGTTAGAGGTAAAAGTCTCCCTATCTATATAGATTTATACATATTAATTAGAATAAATTTAGAATGTGAATGTGAGTAATGTTTGAAATCTTCATAACGCCTTGTCTCTTAACAAAACTATTTCTAATTTTAAGGTCATTACCAAAAAACCGCATCAACAGCTGATACATCCGCAAAGTCTCGAAACAATTGGCGCTGCTAGTAAAAATATAAATAATACCGACGATAATAATTTACCCCTTCATCCTCAGAGTCTTGAAACTATTAATACCAAAAAGGTACGAACAATTTATTTTACAAGTTATCTCTTTATACGAATATTTTATTTCAAAATATACACATATTTATGATAAGTAATAATAAAGAATGAAATAAAAATGAATGTTGAAGGTTTTACCACAAACACATTGAAGAGGAACCAACTGCAGCTCTTACCGTATCTTAGTTATGGATCTGAAATAGTGCATCCAATAGCTGAGCAGAGCGACGAACAATTTGCCAATGAAAGTTCAGGAGGATTCAGTCTGCGAGACTCTTACAGTCCGTTACTTACGCGAAAAAACATGAACGACGCAAATGCTACGTCTAATAGAGACAGAAGTCTAAGCGCTGGAAGATTCGAAGATAGATTTTCGAGGTATTATCAAACAACGCACCGTCAAACAATTTTCAAATGTCCTTTAATTAAACATATATTAAAAACAAGCTTATATTGATATTATTCTATGTTATCTTCCAGGTTTAACGATGATAATGGAATAGACAATAACTCGGCAAATTCCCGAGACGCTTTACTCGATGAATCCAAGTCCGGTGCGAAGAGAAGATACAGTAACGCCAGTCAGAGCAGCCATGAATTTTCAGACGGTGAGAAAAGCAAGGAAAGGCGATTGGACAAATCTAAGAACGCGGAAGATCCACTGAACACAGGAAGCGTAGTCGGAATAGATTGGTTGTTCGAGAGTGGAGATTGTCCTGTGGAGCCGTGGACAAGTAAGAGTAAGTTTAACGTAAACCAAAAACTTGTGTCTTATAGGTAAAGCAAAAAAAAAAGATATCTTCTACTCGAATTATTTTTTTGCCATTTATGCAAGCTTCATACTGTTATGTTTTTTTTTCTAATTCGTGCTGCCAGTATTTTGGACTTTCACTCGCTCTGATGATACGGATACGTCAGAAAGCCTACAGACGGCTAGTACAGATTGTAAGTTGGACGTACTATAGAGCTAGAGGATGTCATTGAGAAGCTAAGATTTAAAAAAAAAATCCATATTTTAATACGACGCACAGGCTGATAAGCATATATCGTATATTTAGCACTTTGCGTATTATTCTTACTTTATCATAAGGTCAAATAATGATAAGAATGAAGTTTTTAGAAGCGATCGAGCTTTTAGCTTTCAACGCTGAAATTCCAGAATCAACGAGAACAATAAAAAAGCATGTTTGTATCCTGATCTGCATAGATCTTCACGCTAAGGAACCCGACTCGGGATCGTCCAGTACAACAACTCTCAGCATCGAGAACGAGGTGAAGCGAAAGTTGCTACCCCAGCTGGAAGTGGACAACCAAGCCGCCAAGCGTCACCAGGGAGCGATTCCCAAGCAAAGCCGTCCAAAACCCACCGCTACGGACGCTGTGGACGACAATATCGTCGCGTCTAGTGTCGAGCAACCACGGGAGAATCTCAAACGTTACCTCGAAGTACGACGGGAGAAGGCAAGGAGGCGAGGAGGCGGTGGCAAGTTCGAGCAGACCAGCGGATCGAACAACGAGCTGAGCACCCTGCTACCGAATCCGGCGCCACCTTTGCTGGCCGCGTTGCTGAACAACTCCGGCCGGGATCTGCCCGGCCAGTCAAGCTCCGCGTCGTCCGATCTGCGACTGAGTCGCGGCTCCGAGAACCGAAACTCCCGCAGCAGGTACGGACGACTGAAACATCCCAATCGCGCCCATCGTGGACTTCGAGGCAACATTTCCAACCGCGACGACAACGTCGTCCCGTTGACCGCCCTGTTCGGCCTGATCTCCAGCGGCGAGTATCACCTGGCCACCAATCAGAACGACACGTCAGAGGGAGCCGTGCATTATTTTCGCGACGACAATGGTCGCTGGCTAGCCTACACGTTCGATGAAAAGAGCTGCTCGGACGTGGCCGCAGCGGCGGCGATGACGCAGATGCCTACCAATCCGCACAACGAGAAACTGCTAAACACCCTGCTGCGCCAGCAACTCAACCAGAATATACACTACGACGCTGCCAACTGGGAACTCGCTGATTCTCTTAGCAACAGTTACAGTAGCCTGTCGCTGAACTCCGCCGGTCTGACGGTCATCATCGACACTCCACCGGTTTTGTCGAGTCCGGCGAGCAATCAGACCAAGACGCAGAGCTCACCGCCGTCGAACCTGATCTCGTCGAATACCGGAAGCTCGAATCAGTGCACTCTAGGCGAGAACTCGGAGCGCGAACATTTTCATCATACGTTGATAGCGCGCTCGGACTCGATGGCCGATAGGAATCGAAGGTTGCAGAACTTGCTGGGTAACCTGAACCTGAATCAGTATCAATCGGACCCTAACAGCCGCATGCCTGTGTTGACGTTGCCGCATCAAGAACCCGACATAAACACGAGTCTGTCATGGAATCGGTTCGTCGACGGCCTCGACGGCTCCGACGGCTCCAAGCCGAAGCAGACTAGACATTATTACAAGTGGAAAATCGGTAGGTTGCCGCACGTTAAGGTCCGCTTCGATCGTCTCGCGTTGCTGGCTCTGCTGGACCGTAACTTGACCGTCTTCGAGACCATTGTGTCCACGTTCCTGGCGGGCGCGGTCGCAGGACTGGGTCTCCTGCTGCTTCAACAGGGCTTCTATCGAGACATATTTGCATTTATATTCTGCTTCGTGACTGCCGGCTGCCAGTATTCCCTGCTCAAGTCGGTCCAACCCGACGCGGCGTCGCCCACGCACGGTTTCAATCGCATTATAGTGTTCTCCAGGCCCGCGTACTATATCCTGTGCTCGAGCCTGATTCTGATCTTCGACGAGATCCTAAGGAACTTCAAATCGTCGGACTTTCGCGTGTACGGGCTCCGCGTCGCCGATTACGATCTTGTGCTGCAAGTGCGAAACGTATTGTTGATATTTCTGCTGTGCTTTCCAATTGTGTTCTCCCTAGGATTATTTCCCCAGATCAACACGTTCCTCATGTACGTCTGCGAACACTTGGACATTCATCTGTTCGGTGGCAACGCGACCACCAGTCTGGTCTCGTCCGTATACTGTCTATGCCGTAGCGTATTCGCCGTCCTTATTCTTTACGGATTCGCCTACGGAGCTCTTTTGGAGCCCAAATCCTCGCAACACATTCTGTTTTCCATCTTCGTGGGTCTGCTCGTGGTGATATCCTATCATCTCAGCCGGTCGTCCTCGGATCCGACCGTGATATGGGATATCCTGAAAGCGAACCTGTGGCCGCCGGAAATAGGGGATCGCTATGTCGAGGAAAAGGAGGCCAAGATCATCGAGAATACGTCGTCGCAACGCGACAACGTGGCCGCTAGCTACAAGGAAGCCAAGAGCAAGATATCCGGCAGAAAGAAGGACGTGAAGATCAAAGTCGGCGAGCAAATGTCGGACACCGAACTGGTGGATCCCCTCCCGGAGAAGCTTCGTTCGACCGTGAACGCCAGATTGAAGAACGACGCGATCGTATGCGCGGTCATCGGCACCCTGTCCTTTGGTATCCACCGTACGACGGTATTCACGGCCCTCCAACCGGAACTCAACCCCGTCCTATGCAGCATCGTTAGCTGCCTGGGCTTCCTTCTGCATTACATCGTACCGCAGTTGCGCAAGCAGCTGCCCTGGCTGTGTCTGTCCAGGCCGGTTCTACGTAGCCACGAGCACGCGCAGTTCGAAGTACGCGAGCCGGTGAGGATCATGTGGTTCGAGAAGGCTTACGTATGCCTGTGCTTCCTCGAACGGAACATCCTGTATCCGGTGGTCTTCCTAGGCGCGCTCACTGAGTGCTCGTCTAAGATCGCGGACAAGTTCGGCGAGAGCGTGGGCGCGCTCATCGTGGTCATCTGCGGACTCAAATCCCTGAGATCGGCGTACTCGGACCCGTCCACTCGCTACCTCGTCTTGGTCTTCGCAGCGCTCTTCTTCCAACTGGACTTCAGCAATCTCAGCGAGACCTTCCTCATGGATTACTTCGTCACCGGGATCGCGTTCGCCAAGATTTACGAGCTGCTCCTCAAGATACGCTTCGTCGTTACCTACATCGCGCCCTGGCAGATTACCTGGGGCAGCGCGTTCCACGCGTTCGCCCAACCGTTCTCAGTGCCGCACTCGGCGATGCTCTTCCTCCAGGCCGGTATCTCGGCGATGCTCAGCACGCCCTTGAACCCGTTGCTGGGCAGCGCGATCTTCATCTCGTCATACGTGCGACCTGTCAAGTTCTGGGAGAGGGACTACAAGACCAGGAGAGTGGATCACTCGAATACGCGAATGTCCTCGCATCTGGAACGTAATCTCGGCGCGGACGACAACAATCTCAATTCGATATTTTACGAACAGCTCACGCGATCTCTTCAGCACAGTCTCTGCGGCGACCTCGCCCTAGGTCGATGGGGTAACGTCGAGCAGGGCGACTGCTTTCTGCTCGCGTCGGATTATTTGAACTGTCTGGTGCACATAGTACAATTGGGCAACGGGCTGGTGACGTTTCAGCTCAGGGGTCTCGAGTTCCGAGGAACTTATTGTCAGCAAAGAGAGGTACGCATACAAAATTACCAGGGTTGGGTAGTAACTAGTTAATTAGTTGAAAGTTCAAAAATTCATGACTTTTAACTTAGCTTAGTTAATTTAAAATGCATTAATTTTTAACTTCAACTAGTTTGACCTTAAACTTATTAACTCTTTTCCAAAGTTAAATTTTTTTAATCTCTGAATACCATTATTGTTTTAAGTTATAAACATATTTTTTTAAATTAAAGTATTATTAATTTTTATGTTCATTTGTTGTCAATTGTAATTACCAAAAAATATAGTTCTATATAAAAATCAAAATTTTTTATTTATTTGTTATAAATTTTAAAAGAATTAATAAACAAAATTCTAATTTAATCTTAACTTAGTTTAAAAAAATCATTAACTTACTCAACTCTGAAAATTATATACAATACGCTGATTGTTTTTTTATTAAAATTTTTACGCTAACATGATCTCTATTTCTAGGTGGAAGCGATCTCGGAAGGCATCGAGGACAACGACAACTGCTGCTGCTGCGAGATGGGACACCTGTCGAACGTACTCAGCGTAAACGCCGCCTTCAGTCAACGCTGGCTCGCCTGGGAAGTCGCGAGCGCCAAATACGTCCTCGAGGGATACTCGATCTCCGACAATTCAGCTGGTTCCATGCTCCAGGTGTTCGAGTTTCGCAAGGTACTGGTTACTTACTACGTGAAGAGTATCGTCTTCTACGCCGTGAAGTCGTCCAAGTTGAAGCAGTGGCTGGAGAACGCGGACATCATCGACGCGCTCAAGCCTACCCTGGACAAGAACTTCGTCGACCTCGATCCGGTCTTCAACGTGAACATCGATGAAGATTTCGACTTCCGAGCGAGCGGGATCACGCGGAGTAGTTTCTGCAATGTTTACCTCGACTGGATACAATATTGCGCTGGTAAACAAGATAAGGTGATATATTAGTAATATTCGCATTATTTTTTTCATCACTTTAATACTGAAATAATATATGATATTTGGATAAATTTTTCATGTTTTTTATCTGTACATTAAATCAGAAAATATATCTTTCTGCAAATAGATCAGTCAAAAGTTTAAATTATAAGATAATTCTGAATTGTTTGAAATTACAAGATGTATTTATCTATTATTCAGAATCAAAAGAAGAGAATGGATATTTTATTTATAGTACTAATCGAAATAAAAAAAATGTCTTAATCAATATAGCTTAATTAATTAAAAATATCGAAATAACGCAGTTTCACTAAAATATATAAATTTTATCACTGAAACAATCAATTTATCTATATTGATTAAGATTTTTTGTTTGTTTAATTAGTATTATATTATAGATAAAATAATTCGTCCTTCTTTCTTTAACATCATCTAGTTGAGAAAAAGAAAAGAAATCTGTATCATTTAAAATATCAAAATTATAAATTGTCAAAGTATTAAGGTGACGATTTATTTACATAAAATTCACAATTTTTTGACATATAAATATTTCACGTCATGTTATGCTTTCTAGTCGCTGGATAGAACTCGTGATTCTTATCTGGTGTCTCTGTGCCTCTCATTGAGTCTGTTAGGAAGACGTGTCTTAGGAGCTGCATCTCACAACACATTATCGGGTGTTGAGTTTTTTCTCTATGGGCTACACGCGTTATTTAAAGGTACAGTATTTTGCTTTTATGATGTATCGTAATAATTATATAGATTTATATATTTTTTAGAAATAATATATTAATTATATTTAATACAATACTATATAACATATAATTCATATATAATATAATATCATATTTAAAATATATTTATAACTCAATCAATATTTTAACAAATACTGTTTTTCACTAAAAGAATTTTAACAATATCTGTTGTCTTTCCATAAAATATCAGGATTATATTTCTTTGTTTGAATTATAAAACGAGCCCTTATTCGACCTACAATTAATAATACATTCTGCATATTGAAATATCTGTATTTAATAACAGGAGATTTTCGGATAACATCAGTTCGCGATGAATGGGTGCTGCACGACGTCGATCTGTTGCGCAGCGTGGTCGCTAAAGGAATAAGAATGGCCTTGAAATTGCATCAGGATCACTTTATGAGTCCAGAACAGTACATCGAATCTTCAGCGCTCTTCGAGGCTATCGACAATCATGATCAGAACCTCGTCATCAGTCACGAAGCAGATCCACTTTGGAGGAACGCAGTCTTGAGCGGCGCTCCCAGTCTTCTGGCACTCAGGTTTGCACAATTAAGTATAATTCAATCAAGCAAAAGCATTTTAACGTAAACATTCGAAACTTTCAGACATGTACTCGACGACGGTATAGACGAGTACAAAGTGATAATGCTCAACAAACGTTTCCTGAGCTTCCGAGTGATCAAGATGAATCGCGAGTGCGTCCGCGGACTCTGGGCCGGCCAGCAACAGGAGTTGGTGTACCTGAGGAACCGAAATCCGGAGCGCGGGTCTATACAGAATGCCAAGCAGGCTCTTAGAAATATCATCAACAGTTCCTGCGACCAGCCGATTGGATATCCGATTTATGTCTCTCCGTTGACAACCAGTTACGCCGAGACCAACGAACAGTTGTGCTCGATAATCGGAGGACCGTTGACATTCGGTACAATAAAAAGCACTGTATTAAAGTTATGGAGAAGGTACGTTTTGAAGATAACTTTTTGCTTCTGATTGACCTCGATTTAATTAAACTTGTAATTTAAATCAGAGTCTGATGATTCATTCGTGCTTGCGTGTTTTAGAATAAGAAGAAGATGCGGTCAAGGTTGTTCCTCAGGTGGCACCGGTTCTCAAGACGACGGTGGTTTCGGAAATGACGGAGTGTACGCGATGACCACTTACAACATACACTCTGGTATTTTACAATATTAATTAAAAAAGCACAAATAAGTTTAATTATCTCTTTGATGCACCGTTCAATTATTTTATTCAGGTTCTTTATTCCCTGAAAAAAACGCTCTTTCTTGATTTGTTTTTAGATAATATAAATTTATTATATAATTTTCAAACATTGATGTAATAAATATTTATATATCTTCATACTGAACATGCTTTATGAATATAGGCTATGCCCAATCGGGTCACAACACTTCTGGTTCGCAATCGATGGAATCCGGCTGTCAGATCGGCGGTTCGACCGGCCGAGGATCCCTCGGTCGTGCGAATACGGGTTCTCTTGGTGGTAACAGAGGCTCGCTCGCTTCTGTTGGGAAACCAACCAGTTCAACCCTCGCCAGTCTGGCCGGATTGCTCAGTAATAGCGACATTAAAACGGAAACAAAGAGTGAGACAAGCTTCTCCAGCAAGCTCGAAAAGGAGGAAGTTTTTCAAAGAGTTCGTGTAAGTATTGTAACAGCAGCACTCAAGCAGAATTTAAACTTATATTCTTTTACTGGTTTAAATATATAATTCTATCTATTCCATTAGCCACTTTCAGGAATAGATTATTTTCTGACATGTTAAATTATGTTTAAATTTGTATTTTATTGAAATTCAAGTATTTTATTATATATATTTAACACCATCATTAATTAACAAAGAAACTTAATGGAATAAATACAACTTTTAAAAATTTATTTAATTCACGAAAATTTATATAAAATTGAATTCTGCCTTAATATACATATTTAAGATTAGAATGAAGTGGAAATTGAATCTTTTTACATGCACGAATCATAATTCAAGTTTTCCACAAACAGATTATGGATCCTAATCAAGTATACGACGCAATCAATTTGGGTCGGCGTATAGACGTAATTTGGCCGGACGAGAGGATGCGACAGCAAGGCGGTCGTTCCGGCTGGCAACATTGGGTACCGGAAAGAGGAATGGAAGGTTGCGTGGTCCACCGCTGGTCCCCGAATCATCGCGATCCCAATCGACGATCGCATGTCGACAAGGTCATCCTACTCGTAAAGATCGAGGATAAATACGTGCCGATAGCTGAACAAGGCGTACGGGATCTAGGAGCGGAGGTTTAGTGAGATATTTTTGAAACTAGTGCAATAACTTGCGATCATGCCTTTTGTACTACTTGGCAAATGATTGTTCTCCCCGATCTGCGGATGCGTGATGCGATAACGCATGTATATGTTCAGCAAAAATAAGAAACCTTCAAATAAGAAACTCTGAATGCTATTGGATTTTAGACTTCAATATGCATGATAACATTTGACTTTCTCAAATCATAAAGCATTTCAGATTGTTAAGATATTAATATACTAAATTGGAAACTTTAGAGAAAAAAATAAAACTATTTTTGTTGAATAAATTTTTATAATTTTTATGAAGACATTTTTCTCTGAAAATATAAGTACTTGTCAAGATTTTTGAAGGTTTCTAGTATAAATCACAAAAGTGCAAAATGAATACGAACAAATGTATCATATTGACGATGTTGAATACTAGTTTCGTACTTCCACAAAGTCAATACTCGCCATTAGGACGTAATCCAAGGGACTCGAATCAACGATATACTTAATTGTAAATATAAAAAATATTTAACTTATCTCCACATTGACAGGTTTCATTGCAATTATAACATTGCGATTCTAATATTGTATAATTTAGCAATTTTTTCAAAATATTGAGAAATTTACATATACTTTCACTTGCGCTTCTGTAGGATCGCTGTAAAAATTTTGCCTCGTAAAATTTTCTCCGCACTTAGCACGTCTCGCTCCAAAAATTACTTTTTATCACTTCTCATTTTCGTCGATCTGTACTTGGATATTTTCATCAGGTACGACTCGATAGAATCTCTTAGAGATTTATAAGACAAATTTTTATATTTATTTCTATTGTATGATCAGAATTGTTGTTAAAGTTAAAAGTTTGACTTTTCTGTAGGAAACACCAATGCGTTTAAAAGAATCGAGAATTAATAGAATCTGTATAAAAAAGAGAGAGAGAAGGAAAGAGAGAGAGAGAGACAAGGAGACGAAAAAGAGAGAAAGATATGAGAATATTTTGTCACCTTGTATCACAAATACATAATATGTATATTGTTATTTCTCGCGAGAAGGCAGAATGCCAAGTTATTCAATGCCAAAAACCAAATTGTATCATGTTGTACTATATACTGTATATTATAATACGACGATATTAGTTTGTCTCACACATACACCAAACCGGAGGAGCATACGTTACTTGTTGCCCAATGTACATCTTAAATTACTTAATTATTGATTAAGAGAAAAAGATAGGTTTTTGCGAACGACACGTTCCTCTTCCATTAATCTATAATAATATAAATAATATATATTTTTGGCGGTTGAATATGGAAAAGAAAAAAAAGAGAACACAGACGAATCGCTCCAAGTAGTTAAACTACTGTATTTATATATATATATATATAAACGAATATATATAAATGATGTATCATATAAGAGCGGGAGGGAAAAGAGGGAAGCTCTCTTAAATACAGCTGTAATAATGATCATACGCAGCGGATGAAAATACGCATAACGAATGGTACCGATATATATATATTAGACTACTTGTACATAAAATATTATTCATGTTTTTCTACGAGAGATTTTTGTTATAACGATTCTCTTTTTTAAACCAGATAGAGTGTAGATAAGAGCTGTAAATATCTTTTAGGATTGCGCGACACCATCGCAGACCTCGAAGCGTCCAGAAATATTATTATTCTACTCGAGCGTGTGTTATTTTACGGGGCCACCCACACACACACACACACACACACACACACACACACACACACACACACACACACACACACAAACACAAACACATACATAAATACAAATACACGACAGGACATATCTGCTTTACTTCCATACGCCCATGTACAAAGGCTCGAACTCACACATGGCATTACTTAATTATATATGAGCTAAAGTAAAATTGTTAGTCTCACACGACAGTGCATTTACATCTCGTTGTAACAAGGAATACTGTACAGATGAATGCACTGGCGTAATGCAATGAAACGTTTATGCTGTTACACTCGAAAGAAAGTTACACGAATTCTTTTTCTTTTTTTTTCTTTTTAATTTTGTATATAATGTAAATTAATAATAATAATTTTGCTTTACTTGTTTCAACATCATATAAATGTTAAAAACGAATTCGATAAAAAAATCGTCTATATAACTGGTTATTTAAATAAGGAACGGTTGCTTGCAAAAATTCTGTAAATCCGTATCATATAAATATATATATATATATATAATATATATATATATATATATATATATATATATATTTGTTCGATGCCGTGTAGAAAAAAAAATATATATATATTTCACAGAATAGAAGAAAAATAGTAAAAAAAATAGTTTTTTGCAAGTGACCATACAGAATCACAGCATTGCCTTATCGTGGTGTCTTAAAAAACACCTGACTGATGACAAAAAAGATTATATAGCTAGTCTTTTAATTGTTGGTATAACAAACACACACACCCACACACACATTTATGTATCGCTTGCTGCCGAAAGATGCGAAAGAGAGAAAAGTTATGTGGAGTAATAATCTTTATTATATCTCTGGCCTACTATATCTTTAATGGACAGTACTTTCATACACTGATTGTACACACAAAATGGTCTTATGATCAAGAATAAACGAGAAATTGAAATCTGATTTATCTCGGTTGCACTGCCACAAAAAAGATACACACATCGCGATTTACATCCAATATAAGCTGTTTTAAAATAATTATTCTCTTATTGTTAGTTAGCCTCTCTTGATTAACTGGCTGAAATTAATATATACACTTTGTACAATTTAAATTATTCATATAAATTAGATAGTGAGATTTTTTTTAATGAAATTAATCTATTCAGAAAAATATATATAAATTATATGTATATATATATATAGTGTATTATTAAAAATATTTGTCACTTCATAATAACGCAATTCAAATCACATTACTTTATTATCATCGCACGTAATTCGTTATTGAATTGACTCGTAAGATGCTTTTTTTATTATATATCATATATATATATATATATATAAATAAATATTAAATGATGACATGAATAGCTATTTCAAGAATTGTGTTGGCAAAAGTCTTGTCTAAAAAGATGTATATCACAAGTGCTTGGACAAGTTCTACAATAGCTTCTAATATACGCTTTCTATAATATATATATATATGATTTGTATAATATAGAATTCTGTTGCACTCTTTTCTCAATATCTCAAGGAAAAATCGCTATTTTCTAATATCCTTTTGGTCAATTCGAGAATATAGGCTGCTGAGAACAAGCTCTGTGTTAGAGTACGTATTTCTATATAGAATAATCTATATAAAAGAAATATTTTAGTACAACCTGGACATCAGATTTAGTATACAAGTATTAGTTTCATATTGAGAATTATACTATATATATATTAGAGATATGCCATTTTACAACATAAATATATATATCTAAAATCTTTAAGTTATATAATGCACGCTTATCTGAGAACGATTAGATTAAAAAAGGCCGTAAGTCTCGGACGAAGTAGCTCGTGAAATATTACATATTTTCTCTATGAAAATACATTCATAAGTGATAGAGAAATTGGAAGCATAAAGTGCGTATTACATAATTTACAGTGTATGTAATTACATGATTAGGACTTTATATTGTTTTCCATATTCATTGGTCCTTCGTTAGCTTTTGTATTAAATTTTCTATCATTTCATTATTGACTAAACCGATAAATTTATCCACGACTAAGCCATTCGAGATGGCTATTACTGCGGGTACAGCTTTCACTTCGAAGACATGCACCAATTCAGGATTTTCTTCCACGTCGATTATAGCCAGATCTAACTTGTCCATAGGTTCTATAAGTTCTATTAATTTGGGTGTCAATATCTTACATGGATCACACCAATCTGCGTGAAAATTGACTATAACTGGCACCGTGCCGTTCATCACCTTATTCACAAACTCGTTGTTATTGTTTATCTCGTAACGCTTATTATTAGGGTGAGATAATGAGATACGTCTCACCACAGACAGCATGCAATTTCTTATACTGCACAACATCGTTTCTCTCTTTTAAACGCGTTACTGGCAAGATAAATAAAAGATTAACAGCTATGTAAAAAGATAATTACATTAATATATTAAGTCTTGCATGTATTCAAGATCTTCATACTTGTCATCGAACAAAAATGTCTCTGAAAACAAAAATTGTTTACTATTAGTAATATATATAAGAATGCAGTATTTATATCTGGATAAACTTTTTTATCAAAAACATTACAAATTTTGATTCTATTATAGTAATAACATATATATTTTGTTAATAATTTAAAACATACCAAAGAGAGAAAGGAGATGTTTAAAAAACCCAGCTGGATATCCTAACTGGTCTAACAGTTTCCATCAATCCAAATTTAATATATCCGATGAGAGAAATTGCAGATGAGATAATTAATAAAACCAGAAGTGTTATACGCCAAATGAAGAGTCGATCATACACCTGAAGAAGAAAGATTCATTTTTAATTTAATTATATAATTTTTTCACAATATGAATGGTGCATATTGAATGTCTTATTTTTATATTTGTATAAATTATATATAAATTTTATATATATTAGAGATATAAATATATAAAATCGATTCTTTCACTAGGATAAAAATAATTTAAAAGCTCTCGTAGCATATTTTTCTCGTCACAAAATAAATATCGCCATTTAATTTCCAATAGAAAAAGCAATTAAAGACGAAAATGTAATCAAGACGCTCTCTCTCTCTCCCTCTTTCTCGCACTTGTTCGAAGACATAGGTTAGCTTTTTCTAATACTAATGTCATCCGAGCACGCAGCAGGATTTTTAAATCGCAATCAATATTATATAAATACATTTATTACCTTGGTCTCCGTAGGAGCGGGTCTCTCTGACGCGCGCGGCACACTGATCAAAATAATCGTGATCGCGCTGACAAGCAGGATTGCGATCGCGCCGATCTTCTTCTCGACCCGCAACGACACGACGAATATCAACGCGGCCACCACCCACAGACCGAGGATGATGAATAATCCTACGCCGATGCCGAGTATCAAGGTGGTCATATCCTTCGAAGAGGGGAAAAATAATACGACAGAACTCCGTCAGAGAAAACGGAGACGTACGTATATGATGAGACAGTTTGACAGATAGCGCGCGTTTCTGCGCCTTTATCCTCGCGTATCGATCCCCTCTATTCTAAGGACCCCTATTCTAAAATTTCTCCGCTATTTTAAATCAGCTGTTTCCTCCTCCCCTTCATATAAATTCACATTTTTCTCACGAATTTTTAGTAATCTTTATGTATATTTATATCTTAAATTATACTTTAATTTATACACGAAATAGCATGATTAAATAAGAATATTATAAAGTGTGGGCGATTCCTTGTATATCCATAAATCTTCAGGCTTTTATATTTTTTATGTCACGACATAATTTTAATTCATCTAATTTTTTTAAGACAATTATTATAATTTGCAACTATTTTAATCAGTGGAATTATTTTTATGTTATTAAAAAGTAAAACGACCTGCCATAGTATTTCTTCTTTTTTATATTTTTATTTTTATTTTTGATTATTTGTGTGTTTCATTATTTTATTATATTGAATTTTTAACTCAAGAATATCATCAATTTGTACAAATTATTTAACATTTTAATTATTTATTATTTAATCATTATTTACACAGATTATGTTCCCCATATGTGCTTCTCAATATGCTCGAAAAATCGTTTGACCGAGTTAATAGGAGAATATATTTTGCGAAGAGGTAGCACAAACAACGATAAATGTCTCCTAATATGTTCGAAAAATCATTTCTGAGTTATTAGGCAAATATGTTTTGCAAAGAGGTAGTCGAATATTTTCGTAGAGTACTGTCGGTAAAAATTTTATCGTGTCGATAATGCAAGTAGATAAATTATCGACGGTGATATAAATTTTACCGACCAAACATTTTTACCGACAGTACCGAGTTGGAAATGTTACCAACTTACCTCTTCGAAAATATAATCTCTTGGTAGCGACTAGCGACCTCCTTGCAAAATATATTCGCCTGTTAACTTAAAAAGAATTTTTCGGACATTTTAAGAGATATTTATTGCCGTATTACCTCCTTGCAAAACATATTCGCCTAATAACTCAGAAATAATTTTTCGGACATTTTAGAGACATTTATTGCCGTATTACCTCCTTGCAAAACATATTTGCCTAATAACTTAGAAATAATTTTTCGGACATTTTAGAGACATTTATTGCCGTATTACCTCCTTGCAAAATATATTTGCCTGTTAACTTAAAATGAATTTTTCGGGCATTTTAGAGACATTTATTGCCGTATTACCTCCTTGCAAAACATATTCGCCTAATAACTCAGAAATAATTTTTCGGACATTTTAGAGACATTTATTGCCGTATTACCTCCTTGCAAAACATATTTGCCTAATAACTTAGAAATAATTTTTCGGACATTTTAGAGACATTTATTGCCGTATTACCTCCTTGCAAAACATATTCGCCTAATAACTCAGAAATAATTTTTCGGACATTTTAGAGACATTATTGCCGTATTACCTCCTTGCAAAATATATTCGCCTGTTAACTCAAATAAATTTTCGAACATAAAAGACACATTATTACTTTATATTATTTTTTATATATTATTTTTACATTATTTAAAGGTAAAATAAGAATAATTTTTGCATTATTAATTTCGTTTTTAAGTAAAAGTTTGCAATAATATTAAAATAAATATATATTTATATGGTATAATTAAAATAAGTAAAAAAATAGTAAAAACAGTAAAAAAATAATAAAAATAATATAATTAAATCACAGTAAGAGGTACACCTATCGGAAGTTGTTTTCACGAAGGAAACGAACCGAAGTGGAACGATCATCCGACATCGCGTTAATACGAGTAAGAAGCGGCCATATTCCTCTTCAAGGCTGCTTCTTTGTCTCATAAGTCCCTCAATTAAATTTCACCGCCACCAAACATCGAAGATCAGCCGAGAATGTGTATATACGTGTTCTCATCGACTTGTTTTTTCTCTCTTTCTAAAAATAAAACTATAATTTTAATTCTAAATTATAAAATATAATTGTAAAAATAATACAATTTTAATTCTAAATTATATTTTATACTTTCTTATCACCCGAGTATGTGAGAATGTAGTACACATACCATTTGACAGATGGCGCGCGCTGGAAGTTTCAGAGAACGCCTGTGCGACTCGAGCGCTCGTTCGGCTAGGTTCGGGAACAGTCGATCTCGGGTGTCTTCAGTTGCGTGCGGGGCACCGGTTGACATTGTTTGACATATCGCGCTGCGTGACGCGTGTTTGCGTGCCGTCGAGCCTGCGAGTGACAGGTGGTGCTCCGATCCGTCAGTGCGACTCCTCGCGCGAGGAAGATCTCGCGATCCTCGGAGAACGACGTCCGTAAAGTGTATTAAACAATACAACGTTCTGCGGGAAGGGACAGACGCGAGTGTGAAGTTAGGAACGAAGTCGCGCGTCACTCTGAATATAGCCGCGAGTCGAATCGAGTTACTCCGTCACGCGCGATTATATATCGAATCCCGCGAACACCCGCTCTTCGAGAACTATCGCCGTGACATGCACGCACAATCGGTGCGTAGCTGCTCCTAGAGGTGCCTCCCCGCGTGTCAGGTCCTACGATGTATACCACGTATTCGTGCGACGACTTACCCGGGAGATTCAGCTGCAGAAGAGGTAAGGCGTTTCATTTTGCATTATCGTTCCACCTCGAGCGAACCTCGTCGAGTTTGCTCTTTTAACCTCTTACATTCGCGATTGGTCGTGCTTGAGAAATTTCACGCACGATTATTCTCGCGTCAACTTTTGTCATTCTGTGTTATATCTATTGGATTATTGCAATTCGAGCTTTCGAAACGAAAACTGTCCATCCAAAACCACGATGCAGCTATATATGTCGTAAGTAGATGTAATATATGAAGTTGGAGACGTTTAACGGTGCGTTACGTCATCGTGTTCAATGAGCTACTCCAAAATGATAATTATAACTAAATGACAGACTCAATGTGCGTCTTGCATTCGCAATTGACGTTGCATTCTAGAAATTTTATTTTATTTGAGCATTTCGATATTTATTGCAGTATATGCATTTTGTGTTTTATTTTTGTATTTTATCTTTAATTTATTTTTTAAATTTATATTTTATTTATTTTTTAAATTTATTTTTTATTTATTTTTTTTTAATGTTATATTTTTCTCATCGTGTCGAGGAAGATCCGACGTGATGCGGAGACGAGTTTCCTGAAACCCTCGCATGAAAGTGGACGATTTTAATTTTTTTTACAGTATATTCGAGATTACTCTCCGGCAGGCCAGGCATAAAACCGCAGGAATTTTCGTTTCTGTGAGTACGGAATCGCGGAAACGCGGAAACTATATGCGATATGTTTATTCAAAACACTCGCAAGGCGTGTGTGTAACTTATTAAAGGGGAAAGGTGTATGCACGCAATTTTCTCGTAGCTATCTCGTGCACTACTAATCATATCTCGCTATCTCTATCTTATCTCGCATTCTTTCTTTTCCTTTTACTTTCAATTGTTTTTTTCGCGAAAAAAATCCATTCTGATGAGCGACTTAAAAAATATCAGCTTCAAATATCTTCGCGGATCTAAAAAGCTCGCGAAAATTCAATTTATTTAATTAGGAATTAAGGAAATAAAAGGGTTCTTGATTCGTGAAAGAAAAACGTTCTAGGATTCTAGGATCTAAAATTTCGAATAATATTTTTTTTATATATCCATTTATTTATCCATAATTCGAATAATAATTTATTTGCCAATTGTATATATGATGATTATCATTACAAATTAAAGAATAATATGAAATATATAAATAATTCATCAAATTGAGACAGCAGTTATCATTTCCAAGTTTTTTTTGCAAATAGGAATGACAAGATCCGATTACAGAGATTTTTCCTATTCGGGAGAAAACAATGATATAATAAAACAATCGGGCCCGATATTAGAAAATTTTACATAATTTGAATAATAATTCGTTTGTCAATTGTATGCACATGATTTCCATAACAAAAAGAATCATGAAATAATACGAAATATACAAATAATTTGTTAAATTGTGACAGCAATTATCTTCTTCAAGTTTCTGCATTTTTTTTCAAATACGACAAGATCCGATCGTGAAGACCTTTTCTGTTCGGGAGAAAATAATAATGATATAGTGAAACAGTCGGGTCTGATATTAGAAAATTACACCTACATGCATAATTCGAATAATTATTTATTTGTCAATTGTATATATGATGATTTCTATTACAAATTTAAGAATCGTGAAATAGTACGAAATAATTCGTTAAATTGTATGACGGCAATTTTCTTCTCCAAGTTTCTGCATTTTTTTTAACACGACGAGATCCGATCGTGGAGACTTTTTTTGATCAGGAGAAAATAATAATGATACAGCCGGGTCTCCGATATTAGAAAATAAAGTACACCTACGCGATGGCGCGGAATATCTCGCAGTATACCTGGCAATGCTAGCTAACGGTAAGTGGAGATTTCGCACGGCAAGAAAGGTCAAATTCCATGCATTTATACCGCGGTGCAGCGCGATGCACCGCGACTTGCAGACACAATTACCTGTCGCTCATAAATCACCTCGGATCTGTATTAAAACGGGCCGATCGACCGACCACGTAGATAGGAATCTTGCACGGGGCAGAAAATAAGCGGTGTACGAAACAAAGTGTACACACAAAGATGGTCTATCATTATCCCGCGATATATCTTATCATATAACTCGTTGTTACTCGATGATTAGGTTGCGAGATGCCTTTATCTCCGTCTCTCTGCAAATCGAAATTTTGCTTCCAATTTTCAACCTCAATTCCGTTACGCTTACAAATTCTATTTTAAGGAAGATTATTTTCAAGTGAATTTAATTTGCATAAGAAATTAAATTCACCCTCCTATACTCTTAAATTGAGTCGGAAAATGTCACTGATTAAAGCAATGATAGTAAGATTTCATCGGAGATCAGTGTAGGTATTTCTTACTGATCTTTAATGAAAATATTTATATTCTGCTCATTCGTTTTGTCTTTAATGAACTAGTAAAATTTCACTGAAAATATATCAGTAATAATTGTAGATATATCTGTAAAATGTAATTTTTAAAGTTTTTTTTATTTATTTTGAATTATTATTTGGAAAAAATTTATACAATTTACATATCATAGAATTATACGCATTTTATATTTTTACTCTCGTAAAAAGAAATGTAATAAATCCATTAAAAAACGAACTAGATTCTTCGTAAAAAAATTCAGCTATTTTTTTAATAAAATATATTACTACAAATCTTCAAAATAGGTAGTAAATTAACAAATAGAGATTTAAAAAGAACCCTCATTTAACTGTAAATTAAATAGTTTTAATAAAGAGTGATTTCATTCAAAATAGATTGAAAATTGAGACTGAGAGAAGAAAACTTTCGACTCGGGTTTTTATTTTCTGTAATATTGGAATTTCGGGACTATTTTTCAAAATTTGTACGCTGTGAGGGATTTACGCTTGCAAACATAGATTTTCGTAATATACGTCGGCTCTCTAAACTCTAAGCAATAAAAAAATCGGGCCAGTGGCATTTATCGTCCTACATTCGGAGATCGTAATATACGCGCTGGTCACCTTTCACCATCTATGCGATGCATTTGGAATCCAAATTCCTGCTCCTAAATCTATCTACGCGTTCTGTTTTTTAATCGTCGGCCAATCATATATGTTATTCCCAGGAAAATTATTCGGAAAATATATCACGCTTATAGATGTAATGAATTGTATTTTCGCACGTTCCAATAATGCGCTTCCAGATATTCGATAACGGTACTCATCCGATATTCATCTTGCGAAAGATTGAATACGCGAGTGAATCATTACATTCCGCTTGAATAGATCAATATTCGTCTACGTTTTGCGATCGAATTTTCAAAGCGAACGGTACTCGTAAAAATTTTGTCAAAATCTTCGTCCCATTTTCCGAAATAGTCTCTCGCTAATTTACACAGAGAGAATTTTCTCTTAGAATTTACTCTGAAAATATTGATAATCCTGAGACAATGTGGTATTCAAAGAATTTTATAAGAGTTTTTCTAATTAATCTTTACTACAGCAAAAATTATTTAATATGAATATAGTAAATTTTATTAAAAAATAAAATTAATTGAACATATGTTATATTGTGGTATAGATATTATCATCTAAATACTGGAAAAATTATTTTTATTATTTATTTAATTTAATATTGTATGCATAACTCTTTTCTATTTTAAATAGAGATAATTTTTTTTAGAATTTACCCTAAAATCCTGATAAAATGGGACAATATGGTATAGGAAGAATTTTATAAGAATTTCTCTGATTAATATTTTTATCACAATAAAAAATATGAATACCTATTACAATAAGATATAAAATATGTTCGATTAATTTGACTATGTACATAGTTTTTCTTATAAATTAATCGAACATATTTTATATCTTATCATTAAATATTTTAATAGATAAATATTGATATTACTAAATTCTAAGATAAATTCTCCGTGTGTTTTTAAATAATCTATGTAATTATTTTTAAAAATAATTCGAGGATGTAATAAATAACAGAAGAGAGTGACCCTCGAAGAAATCCGGGCTTGAGCAAGATTCGTGTCCCGAATTTCTCGGAGAAGGGCCGTATCTAACACCTCTATATCGCAACGTTGGCGCATCTAATGAGGACGCAAGTTTGATTCGCGACCTGAAGATCGAGAGAACCGCGTAATAATCTCTCAAAAGATGATCGATACAAGCTTCAGCGTTAAATCGCGCATATTTTCTCCCTTCGACCGAAATAGGCCTCTTAGCGTATCGATCAGCAGCACGAACTTATTTATGTCGGTGGCGGATATATGCTTTTTATTCCATATTTCTTGGCCGGATATCTTCTCTTTCGACAGCTGCGCAAAGAGAAAAACTCTCTTACGTTTCTTCTCTTTGTTTAATGAGGGGAATCGAATGCAGATATTTCTCATGTCGGCTGCGTCAGTCGGCTGCGAAGTGAAATATTAACGAAGGTGAATGGGAGAGGCAGAGGATGATTATTGCACGCATAGTTTAACTCCTTCCGCTGTACGCGTGTCGTGTGTATGATGGTGTACGGGGGCGTAGAAGAAACGATGGGGAAATTTGCCTACTAATCTCTCAAGCGAAAATATATATCCCCTAGTGTACACTCTGTGAGCTTCGACTTAAGACGCGCGATCTCTCTCTCTCTCTCTTTCTCTTTCTGTCTAAATTCTGCTTGAATTAAAACGTAGAGTAGAGCAGATGTTAGTGTGAAAATTCGCGCGAATCTAATATGTATTCTTCACGTTGACAGCATCCGGTGTTGGGACAAGGTTGGCGGATCTATATGGGGCAATGCGTGTCTCGTAAGGCGGGCGCCGTCGTCGCAGCATCCGGTCATCACAATTCGCCTTCGTACCGTATCATGGACAAGGCCCAGAAACAGGTGAGTTGCCCCTTCGAGTCCAATTTTTCTATTTTTTTTTTTTTTTTTTTTTTGAGAATTTTCTATCAGAATTTAGTCTGAAGATCATAAAAATATTCATAATCTTTACCACCATAAGATATAAAATATGTTCGATTAATTTTACTGTATATTGTATATAGATATTGATATTTTTTATTAATAATATTAATTGATAATATTAATTTTATTAAAAGTACATATTAATATCTACCACAATAAGATATAAAATATGTTCGATAATTTTACTATGTACATAGTAAAATTAATTGAACATATAGCTTACTGTGGTAGATATTAATATTTTTATTGTGGTAAATATATTAATCAGAAAAATTCTTATAAAATTCTTCCAATATTGTCCCACGATTAGCATGATTTTCAGAGTAAATTCTGAGAAAAAATTTTCTCTGTGTATTTTCTTATGTATTTTTTAGAGGAGTTCGGTAGATTTAATTTATGTAAGAATTGGACTCCCCTATATCCAACAAGCAATTTCCTATTTAGAGTTTTAAAGGGAAGCTTTCGATAAAACTATATTCTTTTGTATAGAATTAATGCATTGTTATTGATAAAAATTGATTAAAGGATTTAGAGAGATTTATATTATGTAAGAATTGAGTTCTTACTTCAAAGCAATTTCTTATTTAAAGGTTCAAAAGAAGAATTTTTTATATAAAACTGTTCTCTTAAATAAAATCATTATAAAAATCAGTTAGCGATAGTGGTTGATTTTTCAGTGAAATCTTACTGTAATAAATAATCTGTGAAACACACAAGATGGAGGAGTGAAATATGAGAATGTTTTTAATAAAGATTAGCGAAACATTCACTAAATATTCTGTGAAATCTTAAATTTTCACTGATTTAATTTACGAGAGTAGGTTAAATAGTTTCAAAAAATTTCGTTCGACTCGAATCAGCGCAGACAAATTAAAAAAGGAAAAAATCGAAAGTATAAGAAGGAATAATTTCGATTCGCTATATCTACTCGGGGTACCTAAATTCAAATCGTTACGACCCGTAAAAAACCACCGCGCCGTAAAAAGGCCGGCTCTTACTATCGTTCGATGGACATTGAACTTCGAGGTACCCTCGTCGGGTTCGCGTTCACTCAACTCTGTCGCCGGCTTTTTTTCGTCGCCGTTGCGTTTACATAATATCGCCATTCGGCTATAGACTGTCCACGTGTAATGTACTATAATATACGACGCATCGCGTGTATAAAATCGCATCGCGATCGCGATGTACACGTAAAAAATCCAGCTGATCGCGGACACTAGCTTAACGTCGAAGTTCAATGTCCTTCCTCGAACCGCGTTTCCACTTGCAACGGTATCGCTACCACTTGTGAATATATCATCTGTCCTGTCGACATCGTGCATTACACGATGTGTAAAATCGTCCCGTTTCGTCCCGCGAAAATCCACGCGTGCAACGACTCGTGACCGAATATATCGCATTAGAATATCGTCGTTTTATTCTATTTTTCATATATCAGAAACTAAAAGCACGACTGACAATCTGAATCGAAATTGTTCTCCTACTTTAGATCCTAATTTTTAATCCACAAAATGTGTTTGCACACATATTTTAAATAATAAAATTATCAGTCTCTTTTGAAACTATGTAATTTGCACTGTTAGAGTATTTTTTCTTACATTGAAAAAAAATTTATTGAGTTCGAATAAATATTAATTTCAATACTGCCTAATAAATCATGTATTTGAAACTAATAATATTGGTTTGACGTGAAAAATATTTATTTGATATAAAAAAATCATTTTCAAAGCATAAATATTTATTTGTTTCAAATAAATAATTTATTAAGCAGTATTGAAATAAATATTTATTAATTTAATAATTTTTTTTAGTGTAGAATTTACCCTGAAAAATCATGATAATTGTTTATGATATTGGAAGAATTTTATACGAGTTTCTCTGATTAATATTTTACCACGATGAAAAATATTAATATCTACCACAATAAGATATAAAATATGTTCGATTAATTTTACTATATGTACATATTGATATTTTTTATTGTGGTAAATATTAATCAAAGAAATTCTCTCCGTGTACAGCTGTGAGTCCAAATTTTTCTTTCACTTTTAATTTTCATTTTTTATCCAACATGTACTCTGGTTTTTTTAACAATAAGATCAGCCAAAAAACAAAATTAAATCTTTAAATGAGAAATCGATCGTTTACTATTTTAGATACAAAATAACTTAATTTTTATTCACACACAGATTAAATCAACGAATCCAAATTCTATGGAAACGAATTAAGTATAGATAAATGAGAAAAAATGAAAATTGTAGGAAAAAAGTTTCGACCTTGGAAAATTTACATAATTAATACTTATTTATATTAATTGACTTTCCTTCGATCAAACATTTGCAACTTGAAATCGACACTTTCGCATATATAAACGCGCAGGAAATTATTCGCACACTCGAGTACTTTCACTAACGTTTAATTCAAGAAAGGATTGTATTATCTATCAAACGTATCGATAAAGTGTATCGATATCCGCTTTCGCGTGAACTTTCTCGCATGCACCGAATTGCAAACAAATTAATCGTCTTCGAACAAGCAACGCAACGCGAATAGATATAATGCATGCAAATGCATGGCTTTACGCCAGTGATTACCCATTGCACAAGCTTGCACTTTTCTATTCGCGCCAACGCACTGAAGTAAATGATAATTTTTACGAAGAATAGAGCCTTCGTACGTCAGCAAGTATTTGCAGAATAAGTAATGCAGCTTTTCGAGAATAATCAGTCCGCGAACGTAAATTAAAAATAAAAAAGTTAATTTGTAGCTCTTCTTAATTTACAGTTTCCTTAACGAGGTCGAGACTTGCCACTCTAATTTACGCGAATTTTACACGACCGGTCTGCGATATTCCGATGAGATAAACATAAACATGCAGATCATTAATTAAATTTATTCATTAATCCAGCGACCTAATCTCGCAAACAGTCTCTCTATGTTTGCACATACATATATACACAAATTTTCTCTTAGAGTTTATCCTGAAAATCATGATAATCGTGGGACAATTGGAAGAATTTTATGAGTTTTATAAGAGAATTTTACTTCTTTCTCTGATTATTTACCAGAATAAAAAATATTAATATCAGCCAAGATATAACAGATATGTTCGATTAATTTTACTATGTATATATATTAATATTTTTTATTGTATAAATATTAATAATATTAATAATTAATTCGAGAAACTCTTATGAAATTCTTCCAATATTGTCTCACGATTAGCATGATTTTAAGGGTAAATTCTGAGAGAAAATTTTCTCTGTGTATTTTTTATGGATTTTTTAGACGATTTCGATAGAGTTCTTCGGTAATCGCGTGGGACAATATATGATATTGGAAGAATTTTAAGAGTTTTTGATTAAAATTTATAATAAAAAATATTAATATGTACCACAACAAGATATAACAAATATGTTTGATTATAATTTTACTATGTACATAGTTTTTCTTATAAATTAATCGAACATATTTTATATCCTATTGTGATATTAAATATTTTAATAGATAAATATTGATATTTAATATGCACTATCCAAAAATTTTACTATGTACATATATTAATATTTTTAATTGTGATAAATATTAATAATTAATCAGAGAAACTCTTATAAAATTCTTGCAATACCATATATAATTATCCCACGATTGCCATAATTTTCAGGCTAAATTCAAAGAGAAAATGGTGTACACACACCGTTAAATTCTCATCCGGAAACAAGATCCCGCGCTCTTGTCGGAGCTTCATCGCCATTCTGAGGCGCGTTATTATTTTATTATTAATTCACGCGACCGATCTTGCCTCGGTCGAAGAGTGACGTGCTTGCTTTCCATTGTTCGTCGTCGCGCGTGTCGGTTCCGTGGGTTCTCGCGTTCTCCAACCGGAAACCTCTTCTTCGAGAGAGGAGGCCTGAAAACCGGCACGTCACCCGCACGGTTCAGGTGCGAAGAAGGAGAAATCGACTCGACGGAGAGAGAACTCAGCGCTCTCTTTTCTTCTCCCCATTGTTTCTCCTCGCGTTAGATTCGCATCGCGCTTACTCCCATTGTCTTTCTCTCCCTCGCGATTTCTCATTAAAATTGAAACAAAAATGGCCGAAGATCCGCGGACTCTCATCTTGCCCCGAGATCGAGAGAGATCGAATATATGTATGTTTGTCTAAAGCGGAAGCGGAACCTTTCTTCCGGTTGCGCCTGCGAGAGAGAGATTTCATCGATGATCGCGGATAACAAAATTCGCTCTTTGACTTTTGAGCGATTTTACGAAATGCGACTTTCATCGCGAGATGACATGCAAAAGTGCTCTTATCAGCAAGGGCGATATAATTACTGTCTTGAAACGTCGTTTCGGTAAAAATAAAATAAAGGGGATCTAGATTGCACCTTTATCAGGAAATACGTCACGATGTTATACTATATCGTCTTAATGCATAGATAAGTTAGATAATTGTAATCTTTGTAAAATCTGATATCGCAATTTAGCGCAGTATCTCAAACATCAAACTGGTTGTGTTTTCTTTTATTCTCTCTTTGGCTAACTTTGAAATAATATTTTTAGGCATCGATAATATTTGAATTATAAATTTCGATTGAAGAAAGATTTGTTACAAATTAAATTGTGTAGTAAAAAATTAATGAAACTATATTCCTTTTTTTTAAATTAATTTCAGATATATTTTAATTATAATTTGGAATTATTAATAGGCTCAGTTGCATGATGGATCTCAAACATCAAACTTGTGTTTTTTAATGAGAGTCTCTCGTTGATTAATTTCAAAATAATTTTTTTAAGCATTAATAACATTTGAATTATAAATTTCGATTGAGGAAAACTTATTATAAATTGAACTATGTATTACAAGATTAACGAAATTATATTCTTTTTTTAAATTAATTTCAGATGCATTTTAATTATAATTTTAACATAATATAGTCTCAGTTATATGATGAAAAAAATGGAAATTCTCAAAAAATGATAATCTCCTTCAACGCATTCATTAAAAAAATCAACTCATTAAGAAAATCTACTATTAAAAAAATATTCGGTTTGTGTGAGAAAGAGAAGAAAGAGAATTGGAGTCTATCTATATTTAGAAAAATATTCAACAAAAATCTTGCATAATCGCCTTATCGAAAATTTATGTTAATGTTACTCTTTGATTCGATGAGTCACGTTGCTGATCGTGTGCTTTAAACTATATCTCCAATTGCACCAGGAATTCCTCCTGACAACGATGCTCTAACGACTCTGACGTAGACCCAGAGTCGTCTCTCTGAATCGGATGATTCATATACAAGGTGCGCCCCTGAATGAAAGTGATCGATAGTAAACGGAGGGAACGTGTTTAAATCAATTCTCCTTCGCGAAACAAAGGGAAGTCTTATCGCAGTCTTTCTACTCCATTTAAAAAACCCAGTCCAATTCACAGATCCAGATCATCAGCTCCACCTGCTCCACTTTTACTGGAGACCAAATTAAATTAAATAGACACATACGATAATTGATATAAAATATAATTAATATTATATAAATATTATATAAATATATATTAAATATATTATGTAATAATAATTATAATAATATTATAAAATAAGATATAATTATATATTATATTATATAAATATTATATTAATATTACAAATACATAATACAAATACTAATATTAATATTAATATTAATATTAACACTAATATTACTATTAATTCTAATATTAATATTAATATTATATATTTATATAATTAATACCTATAACTTTCCTCGGTCTCCACCTGCTGCTATAGTAAGCCACCCTGTATATGGGAGAAACCCGGGCGCGCGGGCGCATCCGCAAGATCAGCAACCCCCTCGAAGAGGGGTTGATGCGTCCCGACGTCGCTGCGCCGACGCAGAGTGCCGGATCGATCCCGCTTGCCTCGGCCTACGACGGCCTAGGTCGGTGGAGACGAAAGAGGTGCGAGAGGAATGGCGGGGGTGACGACGACGACGACGACGACGACGACGACAAACAGCTGCGCCGTCGCGCGTTTCCGCGCCGTCGAGAGACCGTCGTGCACCATCCTTACGATGTGACGGACCACGAAGAGACAAAGCGAGAGAGAGAGTGTGTGTGCGGTTCCTCTCCGTCGTCATCTCAACAACTTCTTTTCGCGACTGGACCTTGAAGAGAATCATTTGACATGACGAGACGAAGCTTCATCAACCTTCCAGCCCCGTGAGAGAGGGAGATCGATCGACGACCGGCCCTGTGACATTGGCCCGGGTGTTCAGCTATCATGGAGTACCGGTGCGGCAGCACGAGATGCGAGGACGACGAGCTGGAGAACGAAAAGGGCATCGGAGCTGGGGTAAGGGACACCCGGGACACGACTTTGCCCTTTTTCTTCTTCGTGGGCTCTTCTTCACCTCGGACAGAGGCCGGGGAATCTCGGAAAGGCGTGAAAATAATCCTCGACGGAGGTGTATCGTTCATAATTAATATAGAGTTAATATAGAGCCTCTCAATTGTAAATTTGATCGAGACCTTTGCGAATTTGTTAAATTTAAAATGTACTCCGATATCCACTTATGATGTAACATATGTATGTAATGCGTAAGATATTATTCTTGTAATGACACTTGAGAAAATTAGCATAAAAAGCGGATCGAATGTATGATGAATCTCATAATGATTCGGCGAATGTAGGAAATTTCGCGGAGCTTTTTGCCAATTTTTTTTATATCGTAACATGTTGCAAGAGGTATATATAATATACATAGTGATCGTTCGAAGAGACGTCTTCACGGTTGATTTGCGTCGCCTCGTCAAGGTTTTTTCACACGCGGAGTTAGGCAAGATTTCCGAGCTTCTTTCGCGGACAGGGAGTCGCGAACTCAGATTCGTCTCGTCTATAGTTACTCTATTTCTGGAGTTCGAACGAGGTTGGTTGGCCGCTCTCGGACGAGACCCGAGACGACACGAGTCGATCGAAATTCGTGTTCTCTTCCGTCTCGACAAACGTGGACAATGCGTATATGTTGCTTTAGACAAAGAGTTTCGCGATGGGATGCGCTATCGGCATCGTTATATAACCCGGTGTACGCATCTGTGTACAAATATCGATTAATATCGGACTGCGACCGCACGTAGCAAGTTCGTCGAACAAGCCCTTATAGTTCCACGAACCTTTTATATGCGACGTATGAGCGTTTTGGCGAACACCAGGTGAATACCTGAAGAGGGAAAGCACGTAAGAGAGAGAGAGGGACGAAATAACTCGGATTGAGCAATTAAGATCGTATACAATCGATAGTACAAAGTTCAGGTCTAATTGTGAAAACTCAATTATACCGGGATATCGATCTCCCCTTCGCAGATGTAATCCGCGGCTGATGATGCGTGACTACATAGCTACTGATGACCTTAAATTTTAATATGAATTCTTTTCGTCATAACAGGTTTTAATAAGAGTCTCGAGATGAAAAGAGAGCTTTGATAACTGTTTTATATTTTAAAAAGTTTAATAAGGTGATCTCGAAAATTTTCTTCTTATAATTTTTAATTAATATTTATTATGATCCTTTAAACAGTTAAATTATTTTCTTTTAAAATCACTTAATTTATGATTTCATCTAAATTCTCTTTTACATTTCAATATAAAAAATTCACATATTACCTACTTAATTTACAAAGTAATATAAGAGCTCAGTTCTTTAATAAATTAAACCTCTCGAATCATAAATATAAAATTGCTATTGAAAATAGGAGCGAAAATTCCAGTATAATTTAATTCACTCCAATTTCGCCTTTAAAAAACCTTCAACATATGTCATATGTATATTTTAATTAGTCTTCTTTTCGTGTCTACATCGCGTGCCTGTATTTCCTTCACTCTTTCGACACGAACCTCCCGTCTGACGAAAGAATTTCCATTCCAGGGCGACCTACGGGGCTCCTCGAAGCGCAGCACGTCACAAACGCGCGGCACTGCGATGTCCTTCGGCTTCCGGCGAAGACCCACCAGCGGGATCCCGATGCCGATAACGAATTACGCCGCCGGCACCGTCAGCGAGAAGAGCTTGCTGCATCCGCGCTCGAAGTCGGCCGGCCCGGAACAGAATCGCAGACAGGCGATGGACGACGACAATGGGATCCATAATTCGTCGTCCGGTCGGTCGACGCCGCGGCTGGCACCGCCGAAGAAGGACTCGAGCGGGATCGGCGTCAGGACCAACCGTTTCGGGTATCGGCAGCCCCAGACGAGGTTCACGAATAAGGTCGGCGACATTTGCCACGGCATCACTCACTACAATCAGGAGAAGCTGCAGCAACAACATTATCAGCAGCAGCAGCAGCAGCAGCAGTATTATCAGCAGCAGCAACAGGAGAATTACTTTGTCAAACAGCAACAACAACCACAACCGAACAGGATCGTACAGCAACATCTGTACAGCACGACGGCTCCGACGAAGCTTCGCACGTCGCCATCGAATAACGCGGCTTACGGCGGCGGTAACAATGCGATGACGCAATACGCGGACGCGAACAAACGAGGCTCAGGCATTCCTGAACCCATTAGCAGGTATACTCTGCACACCAGTCACCTGCCGCTTCCGCAATACGCTGTACGGGTAAGCGATTCCAATTCTAAGATCGCCAAGACAGCAGCGAATCAGAGCAGGAAGATATCCACGTCCAAGGGTTCGTCCAGTTCGAAGGAGGGCTCGGTGACCGAAGATTCGGGCGTCAGCAGCCAGCCGGCCGGTCCGGAAGACGACAGGATCAGATCGATGGATTACATGGACGAGAGCTCTCTGAGGAGACGCGGCGTCGGTAGACCGAGAAACCTGCGTATGGTGGTGAATGGCAAGAGTTTCGACGTGAGAGACGTCCGAGACGATGACAGCACTGTCACGGAGATCTCCGTGATCCCGTTACCCAAGTCGTTCGCGACCCACGCGGCCAATCTGAACACCGGCTTTGTGCGTGAACGGGCTACGCAGTATCAAAGGATCGTGAACAAGGACAACAGGTACACCGACTCGACCGCGTCGATGTCTACTACGTCTTCAGAGGGATACGAGGAGGGTTGCCTGAGCGAGGAGAAGGTTTACAAGGACCGCTCGCGTACGGAGAAGATCCCGTCCATAAAGTCGGATTTCAGTCCGCTGAGTTCGGATGATCCCGAGTACGGCCACGGCGAGGCCATGGCGGACGAGTACTCGTTGAGTTCCAGCGATGAGTGCCAGCGTTCCAACTCCATCATCGCTCAGCACGCGCAGGCGATCACCGCCGCGACGAAGAGCGGCGCGGCGTCGAAGAACACTTTGCGATCGGTGCTTCTCACCATCGAGGATCCGGCATTCGCCGCCGCCGCCGCTACCACGACCACTCTGATAGACGACGAGACTTCGCCGGTCGACAGTCTGTTCGACAGTCCCACCGCCAGCATCACTCAGTCGGACGGAAAGCCCTCGAAGAGAGACGAGGAACACGCGCTGGAACGTTCGGACAATACCCTCGAGGATGACAGTCCCGGCACGCCGACGAACGCCTCCAACTCGCTCAGCCTGTCCGAGGGTAGAGAGTTCTTCGACGACGAGATCGCAGATCAGCCGGGATTGATCTTCGACGACAGGGCTAATTCGAGGGCTAGGATGGAGACGCAGTCCGCCATGGGGAATCAAGTAATCACCGAGAATAGCCACACTCTAATCGAGACGAGCTCTAAGACGGGTGAGTACGGATTACGATATGCTATTCTTGGAATCCTCGTTCTCTCCAAGTGTATATTGTGCATCAGCATCTAAGTAGCTGAGATCTTGAATCTAACACTCACAGTCTAATAATTGTAACAAATTTCAAACGTGTGAGGAAAATATTTATCTAGAAAATTTTTAATTGAAATGTATTTTGTCATTATTAATATATATTTGTGATTTAATTTATAGGTGCTACGTACATCAAAGGCGCAGTGAACAGTCCTCATCACGGGCAGCGTTTGCATCGAACGGGAAGCGTGGATACTTTGTCGCCCTGCGAATCTATCGCTTCGGATGATTTAATGTTAGATTACGATGGCAGCGACGCGAGCTCTTACGAAGAACAGCAACGGTTAGCATTAAAACAGTCAATATAAATTTGTTATAAGCAAAAATTATATATATCTGTATTTTGATGTTCGAATTATAAAAAGAAAGTGTCGTCTTCTTTTGCCGTCGAATCAAATTTACATAATATTCATTATCTTTCAGATTAAATTCTAATACTGCACTGCACGATCTGGATGACGCCACTATAATTTCCGAGTTGGAGGCTCAGGGCGAGGAAGTGATGAGGCAGTGGAGCTCATTGCTGAACACAGCTCATATGCAGGAGGATGCGAATTCCAATTCCGCCAACAACAATTTCGTCAACAACACAACATCGGGCAACAATAACAATCAGGCCATCGAATCTGGGTGTGTATTCGTATTTTTCACTTAACTTTTTTTACGCTTGCATTGCTCGAAACGCGAAATTTCATGATGGGCAAGGCTTCTTCAAGGGAATGATGGACAAAAACGCGTTAACGTGATTAGAATTACAACGTGTGACGCGTTTTACATGCAAATGATATGTAAAGTTATACAAAGATACGTTTCTCTTCTCCGAAGGGGGCGTAAGAAAATAATACAGCTTTCCGCATTGTTACATTTCCTTGTGTAGATAAAGTCTAATTATCCGGTAAAGACAATTATTAGATCTCTGTTTCCATAGTATCTTTTTGGTTTTTTTTTACATATCGTTTGGTCGTCTTAATTGCAGCATCACTTCATCTCTTTGCATTTTGAAAGAATGTCTACACATATTATATATATTTGCATTAATCATTTTATATGCTTTTCTAGTCACATTAAGTATCGATTGCAATAGTCTCGAATGCACAATTCAGATTAATTTTAATAAGTTTGTAGCAGAATTTTTTAACTTAAAACATTGCAATACATTCATGTAGTATAATGTAGAAGATAGAAACTGTAGAAGGACACTTTTAACTAGAGACGATAAGTTGCATAGAAAGATTGAAAGAGTATCTGATCGATGCTGTGATATAGTTAGTGAAGGTGTATACCATATGTGAAGGCAATGAGATAAATAATGTGTCATCCAAGTAATTTAATATGTTCTGTGTTCACTATAGTTATATAAAACGCACTCGTAAACTTTGATCGATATAATTTTTTTTTTTAATATTTTATATCGATATAATTTTATTTTATAAATATTTTATATAACATTTTTCGCGTAAAAAAATTCTACAAAGATAAACTAGAATGACACGAATATGATTAATAATATACATGAGTCTGGAGACTCTTTCGTATATTTCTTTGAAATATCTCACCGGTAAGTTTATCTCGGAGAAAATTGCATCGTTTGCATTTTTTCCGAATTTAATATCTCACATCTTTTCATCTTATATAATCTCTTGTATTTCGTGATGATTTCAGATTTCTATCTTTTGTATGTAATTATAATTTCGCTCGAATTGAATGATAGCTTAGCGAGACATCTTTAGAGAAGAAGTGTGTTTTGTAATATCCCTTACAATTTTTTTAATATCCTACAACATTGAACTATTATTAATAGACATAATGATATAATTTTACGTTAATTCGCATCGTAAATATCGAATTGCAATGAAGGATCGTAAAAGAATTTCAGTTGGAAAGTTGTGCGTAAAGTTCCGTTCTTCCTCTCGGAATTTTAATCTAAAAGTAATATCTCTTTCGCATCGGGAGCATGAAGCACTTTAGAGGCAACACTTCGGATCGTCCTGTTGCAACAATAATTGCAAGTCCGTAAATTTCGAGCGCGTCATGGCCACAAGCGCATAACAACCTACTCTCTTTTTTTTAATTCTCTCGGCGAACAAGAAAGAGCAGAACATCTTCAAGTTCTCCTGTTATACTTGTCCTCCCTCGAATTCCCATTGCAGACTTGAATCTACAAATCCTTGAAGCTTTCGTCGAGCATTCGCGAACTTTCTCTCGTCCTTGTCTCTTGTGTCAGTTGTGTTTTCGTTCCATTTTTTCATTAAATAGCGATCGAATAGATATAGATTTATAGATAGACGTTGAAAGAGATTATGATAAATTAATTCTACATCGACTACATCTATTTTTTTTTTTTATTACTGTCAGTCTTTTTACGTTCAAGACGTACGTACGCGATAATGTCTTCTCCCTCCTTCCTGCTTGTACAAAATTGAGCCGCCACATCAGACGCCACAATTCAGCGACAGTATTCTGTGTTCTAGCGCGCTAATAAAACGGGTGAAGCAATTGCAAATCCCCGATGAGGACTCCGCGGGTGGAGACTACTACCAGCTGACATACCCTAACTAGCGAGCGGGGTCCGCCGATTCTCCCTCGAATGTCGACTAGGCAAAACTGATAACCGCAAGCCGATTACAGTAATAATGATAATACACGGACACAGACTTAACTCGCGAGTGATCTCATAAATTAAAAAAAAAAAAGAAGAAGGAAATCGGAAAAGTTGGTCACGCTGAAATGAAGCTGCGGATGCAGCACCAAGTCACCAAGTTTTGCGATGAAGCAAAAATATTGAAAGGAAATGATATAAAATTTTTAGGAGACGATGTAGTGATAATCTTGTATCAGAAAATGATTTGTCTCACAAGTGCGATCACTCGCGAGCTAAATGGACAGACGTTGTGGCGCATGATTGGGATAAGAGCGATGATAACACGCGGTTTCGCAATCGTGATTTTATGCTGATCTGTGCGACTTTTGTTTAGGCTATCGTTAAGAAAAATGGGAGTGACATATATTATTTTCAGTATTTGCAGTTTCAAAGTTTAGTTAGAATAGTTTGGATTAAAAAGATATATAAATTATATATACATATATATATATATATATATTATATATATATTTAAAATATATATGTATATATAATTTTTATACAGGACGAGTATTATTGTTATTAAATGTAAGAACTTTTTCTTACGTAATTCCTAGTCTGATAATTTTGTACACGTCAAAACTTGTAGATATAATTCTTTTAATCCTTTTGACAGAGAGACTCGGTGCACAATTATCATTTGTCTCGAATCACTTGTGCTGTGTTACGTATCCTTCTTGCGTGCGTTCTCGATTTTCTTTTCATTCCCGAGGAATGTACTAATATATAATAACCAGTTATATATACATCCCATCCTGCTCCAAACTTCTCAAGCCCGACTTGGATGGGAAAGATGCTACCTCAAAGGGTACTAGTCCTCCGACCCACCCTTTCTCTCCCGCGAATCTAAAATTCATTATCTCGGTAATTTACTCGCCTTTCTTTGACCTAAGGAAAAATATGGCTTAACACGACGCACTTTGCGAAAGTCAGGCAACTTCCTCGAGATTTGCGTCTTAATTATAGTCGTAAAAATTAACTAACTCTCAAGTATAGTCGAGGTGTAGTCGAAGCAGATTAGTATGCGAATAAAGAGTAACCCGCCCTGAATAGCTGGTAAACAGCGCTGTTCTGAAGGACCCTTGTTTACGCGATTCCTTATTACAGTGCGCCAGCGCAGAGCGAATACACGGTGGGGATGAAAACGTGTAGTTGCGAAGGTGATAGAGATTATTTTTCCAATTTCGTATTTTTCCAATACGGTGGTCGAAAGCCGAGTCCTTCCAAAAATTGTCGTCTTGTCGCGACACTCAAACACACACACACCGATCCAAACTTTCGATGGAACCCTGTAGTAGATGCCGCCTAGTCGTCTCCTCCGATGATCGTCGCTTTCCACAAGAAAAATATAATCTCATTCGCACTATTTAAAATTTACCTAGATATTAGCGAAGCTAATAATCACGCTTCCGCGATGTTATCAAGTATTAATTAATTAATCAAATAATATACTCTCGTGGCATTATAGAGAACTGCTGTTAGGTGTAGACGCGTAGCTTCGTAGAAGAGACGAAAGATCTCTTTCTTTCTGTATACGAGTAACTCGAGGTCACTCTTCCTTCCGAGGTCATTGTAGAAGATGAGAACACGATTATAAATTGATATACATATACACACTTATCAATAGAAATATATATACACTGCTCGCAATAATTAAAGGATCAAAAAATTGTCTAAAAAATAGGTAAATGTATTTTTAGACCATTTTTTTTTATCTTTTAATTTTTGTGAGTAGTATATATTTATATATTAAAAATTAAATAATTAATGGAACACATACATACATATATAATATATAATATATTATATATATATATATATATATATATATATATATATATATAATAAATTTTATATATAATGTGTGTATTATTCATGAATTATTAAATTTTTAATTATCCAAATAATTCAAAGCGGTTGTTTGTGAACTTTAACAGTTTTGATTCTGTTATTGCAGTAAAACTCGCGTTCTCTCGTAGCTTCCTCTCGCATAATTATCCTTTCGGACTATGACAGCATTCACGAAACGTTTTCCCGCGTTATCGTTCATTTCCTGCCGTACAAGATTACCTTTACCGTTATCTTACATACGATTCCTAGTATGAGCAACCACGAAATATGATCATCACGCATTGTAATCACGGTTTGATCCCTCCTTGCGTTTAAAGTGGCCAGCCTCGTTTTCTCATAAATGAGATAGAGCAAAATAGATACAGATGTTTTTTATTTAAAAGAAAAATATTATATATATATATATTTTTTTTATTTTTTTTATCGAAGAATATAGACAAGACAGTTGAGGAAATGTCAAGAAGCAATATCTTGAAGAGCGTTAGTTCTGCGATTATATATGCATCCTTTTCAATCCTGACATATTATATGCAGAGCATAGTAATTATCTAGTCGCAATAATGACACATGTTAACGCAACACGCATACTTATATTTATCTCTAGCATAGTACGAGAACATACACATATTTCAGGCTTGAATATAATAACAGCTCGTTGAATTTTATTTCTCTTGCTCCTTCTCGCGTCGAATTATTCAGTTTCTCTTTGCTCTCTTCTTTGGTTTCAATTTCAATTTTTTTTCGTTCTCCTTATCGATTCTCGTTATATAACAGATTATTAATTTAGTTAATAATGACACATTTTGCTCAGACATTCCAGATATCCCATTCACCCTACGAATATCCATGCGAAAAAGATTTGTTTTTTTTTTTTACGGGCTACAATTGTTAGCGAAATTAGCAGTCGTCAAATGGAAGGAATTTTTACGGCGCTCTTGTATCCGCAAATATATATTTATATCCACCAGGTGTATGTACTCGTTGTATCCGTAAGTTGTAAGAGACCGGGCGAGAGAAAGAGAGAAGGCGTTTTGTGGTGCCGACTATATAATTCCATAGAACACAGTTAATACGACGTTATTAAGCATGATTGTATATCATATTTCTGTCTTCCTCCATATACGTGCTATTGTATGAG